ATGCTTCTTATCAGGGTAGTGCTTGATTCGTTTTCGTGTCTTCCTCTATGCTTTAATCTGGATCGTCTCTTTCCATATTTGAACTTCGCCTCCTTTCATTGATTCGTCTAGAATCTCATGAGATGTCTCTCTATTTCTTGTACAACACTGTGTGATCATGTTGATTATAAACGTTATCATGAAGTTTATCACGATGATGAAGCATTTCATTTTGATTGTTGACGGGGGGTTCATCAAACGACACGTAGCCATCTTCCTATATGCAGGATTATAACAGTAAAATATGAAAAAAGAGAGAAAGAGAGAGAGAGAGAGAGAGAGAGAGAGGAGAGGAAAGATATTTGTCCTGTCTTTTACACTCTCCCTCAAAGTTCATTCCTTCTTCATAAATGGAAGAATGTCTTTGGATATTCTGTAAAAAGTTTGTTTTCAATTGTAAGTCGAGTCTTATCCATCATCAACAACAGACCCCCATGAATTCAGATTGTAAAGAGACAACCATTTCGAAAAAGAAAAGAAAAGATGAATGAAGATTGACTATGTGATGTAGAGGAAGCTTTTGTATCCCATCTCTATGCAAAGTTTTGGTGACAAACACTTAATTATCAGCCATCTCTCTTTCTCCAACAGTTCTCATTCATCAACGTTCTTGATCCCCCCTTTATTAAATTCCTTATCTAAAGAGCTCTTCTTTTTAATCTTTCTTGTGCTTGTCTGTATGATTTCAGTTTGAAAAGCCTACTGAAGTCATGAAATATTCTTTCGTCATGAGGCTACCGTAATCTCAAACTTTACGCCTCTGGTAATGAATTGAGAATCGTCCTCGTACAGGATTCCATACGCCTTCTGATAAAGAAGTCATTAGATGTACCTTTGAAACTTTCTCTCTCATATTTCTACCTCTCTCCACCCTTTCTAACTTCTTCATCTGTATGGTTATTGCCATATTAAGGCATTTGGTGTATTTCCTTTGAACTACCTAACTATCTTTCATATTCTCTCATACATTCATCTATAATCATAAAAGAGCTATTGTAGCAAGTATGTCTTTGAAAGTGCCGACGTGATATAACGTTTTCAAAGCTTCAGCTTTCTCTCCTTTCATCACAATGCCTTGTATTGTCTACTGATCAGAGATGATTCATTTTCATCATCGCCTTCTGAACCATAGCCCCTATTAGGATAAGCTCATTGGCCCTCCAAGTTTTCTTTATCAACCAGATGTCTTCCAAACTTTTGTCTTGTTTTTTCTACCTCAACGATAGATGAATTAAAAACGCAAAAAGTGCGATCATCATCTGCTGAGAATGAAATGGCAAAACGAAAAAACTGTATTGTCTTCTGCATGGGCCACCCTCTACGCAACTAAATCCATATGTGGATGTGTGAGGTCTTATTGTTTTGCTTCTCAAGAACTTCACCACATTTTATATTGAGGCAAAGAAGGAAGGTTACAATTGTTTATCCAAACATTGACATCAATATCAAAGAGAATTGAGTCTTGATATGCTCCATATGAAAGACTCCAAAAACATATGTTGAAGAACTTGAATCAAACCCTCATCTCTACAGATCTGATCATAAAAAAACTTTTTTGCGGCATCTATCTGTCCGAGCTCCTTATTGTTCGAGCGATACTCAATATAAACATATATCATAACAATAATACTAATAACTATCGTTTATGATATAATATACAAGAAGAACTCATTGGACAGTCTCTGCTCTCTTTCAATCTCGTTTGTGACCTTCTGACCGCCACAGTGGGTGATCTACTCTCTCATTACTTTGAGCTTTTCGCTTCATCTACCATATCTCCTTTTAGATCCTTAACTGGGGACAAGACCTATGACGTAAGACACAGACACAGTATCAGCTTACTTCATCAACCAACTCAAAAGCCCATATTTGGAAATTTCGTGCTACTGATAGCCTATCTTTCCTATGAATTACACCCAAATCTTTCATTTCAAACCTGGTAATTTTGATTTATTTGATAAATTAAGCGGATTTGGTTTTCTTTGTTTGTATTCTCAAGTGATGACTCCAAGTTGCTTTCCCCAAATAGCTACGAAACTCACTCCTACACACTCTACTCACTCAGAATAGCAATCAGCAATCATGCTGTCCTTCTATCCATATGTGATGTCTCATTGATATCTCATATCTGCATAGCTTCACCTCATTTCCTAATAAGAACTCATTGTAGTTTAACATAAGTTCATTTTGCTGAAACAGCAGTATTATCTACTCACTCCTTGTCTGTTTTCAATACAAAACACACATTCAGCTTCCTATTTCAATTCTTATCACTCTGTTATAAGCCTCTTGCTCCTCCTTAATCCGCTCATTTCCACCCTGCCCCCTTATTCACCTTCTGATGGCTCCTTCGTTCTCACCCACTCTTTCTAATTTTCATTTTCGATAATCACTAAGTAGATCGTGCCTTAGTTTGTAGAAGCTTATAACTTGATCATTCAAGCAACAGTGTACTGATTGATGAAACTAAAAACTTCTTTTTATTCGAAACGAAAGGAAATTATTGAAAACGTTCGCCTCTCTAACCATCCGTTATCATTTCAGAAGCTTTTATTTCTTAGGAACAATCAATTTTATATTGAAAAAAACGTTTTTATGTCTGTTTGACCATCATTGAACATCATCACTTTGAGCTTACAAAGTACTCAACTCAGCAACATCATTCTCTGATATCATATCATCTGAGTCAGAAGGCATCCCCCCCACCCTTATTAGAAGCCTAACGTCATTCAGAGCTTAACTCTGTAGCATTCGTGCATTATCTGTTGGGTACATTTTCAAAAACTTATCTCATTAGAAGAATTCTAATACTATAAGTAAAAGCCTCGTCATAATCGGGTTCGGGTCCACTTCGCACCTTCTATCTCTTCTACACTTCCTTTACTACCCCTCCCTCTCCTTCTATCTACTTCTTCCTCCATTATTTCATCTTTATTTTATCACCTTCTGCCTCTCAACCTGTGAAAACCTCTAACTGAACCGCCCCCATTGCTTCCTCTTCCATACATGATAGGGGCGGAGCATTCTTTTGGCGGTGGCCGCTTCTCTCCGCGCCAGCCAATATCAGTCATTCAGTCTACCGTGCCTGTCCTGAGCTGTAGCCGTTCTGGCTCCAGAACATCCGCTCTGGCATTCAATGAAAGTCTTTACTACTTTGTTGACTACTCTGATTTCTTGAACTTCCTCAATTTCATTTGAACGGTTACATTCATTCGACTCTATCTAGATACCGTAACCGGGTCAGCCTAGTTTCCAATTACCAACCCAAGAAACCGCTCAGCAACTTATTACATTTTGGTTTGAATCCCTCCTTGTTTATAGAACTTCAAGAGTTGATTCAACTAACCCCATTCTCTTTCTTGACAACGTCAGTTTGTCTACCGTACATAGTCCACCACTTGCAAACATTTGAATGTTTTATCACCTCCCTTCTTGTGTACATTCCAACGTTTTTTTGTCATCTCCAAGCTTCTTATGAATAGTTATGTTGCCAAAGGTGAAACATAACTTCTTCAAAGCAGTTTACCTTTATCTTCACTTATGCTAGCTGGCAACATCGCATGCCTTTCAAGAATTTCTTCAAAAACCTTCTTGAAACCATAAGTCTGTTACAACGCCTCACCAAGAGCTTAGAGCTTATAAAACTAATCATCAATGATGAAATAGTTTTGTTGGGCGTAACAGTTTCATAATAGGCTCAGATGATTGTTTCGAGTTCACACCTGGGTTTAGATGAGTCTTTCTAAAAGCCTTTTGATGAACTTTGAGCTTTTTTATGCTAATGTCCCCCAAGTGACGTGTCACGTGAAGGCTCACGTCGATTGCTCATTAGAACATTCGTTCCCACATCATTTGGCTAGAATGGAGTGCTCTGAACGGTTGACTATCTTTTTTATTTTAATCACATTCATCTCTCATATTAATTTATTTACTCTTTCTTTCTTTTCTGTACAAATCGTTCTTGTGCGTCTGAGTTTGAGAAAAAAATGGTCCTTCCTCCATAAATGGCTCGTCTGCACACTGTTTTAGCACCCATTTTGGCTTGTTGATATAGCCATTAGTCAGAGGCGTTTGATTTCTTTCATCTGTCCGACTTCAGAAGCTTTCATGATGTTTTACTGTTCAAGATATGAGAGAGAAAGAGAACCTCCTCGGTTTCGGCTCAGCTTATCATTAATGGCCATAAGCAGTCTCATGGTGGCTTCTCTTCGCACTTCTTGTCAACTTATTTTGCTTTGACTACTAAATCATCTCCAACTTATGTATAAGAAACCTTCGTTTGTTTTTCCTATTTGGAAAGTGTTTTGAAGTGTTTTCTGTCAATCTGCCGTAGTTGAAGCTGCATTCTGTCTCTTTAAAGAGCGGAGGTGTTAGTTTCGTAAACAGTATGTTTGGTTTTCGCGACCAACTTACTCCTCCCACTCCCCCCCCCCCATACTATCAAGGGGCATACGGTAGGAACCGGAAATATATGCTTGATCCTTTCTCTTCTCTAAGCACCAAACATAGACACTGAAGCTTTTATTCAAACAGTTGTCCTGAAGAAGTCGAATAGAAGCTTTTTGCTGCTGATGATTGTCTTGAAGTTTTCTCCAAAAAAGGGAATCAAGTCATCAACTCCAGTTGAGGCTGATCATTAGCTGTCGTGTACAAAGTCTGATAAATTAAGTCAAATGTACAACGAAAACATCAGTATTCCTTTTTTGATCATAAATGTTATCAGTAGCTTTTCCGCTTCCATAAGGAAGCATGTTGATTACTGTAGCTGTAGATTCAGGTGACTTGAGAATTTGTTATTTGCTTTTCAGAATTACCATTCTCTTGTTATAAACATAAGATTACTTTATTGCGAATATGCTGTTGCTCTTTCTCTTCTTTCACTGCTAGTCTCTCTCTCTCTCTCTTGCTTCGTCTTTCTTGTAACATAACCTTCTCCTCAAACTATATTTCTGCTTTACAGGATGTTCCCAACATACTCCTCGTCGATATTCCCAAATGTGATCTCCCCTGAAGACTGGGTTCGCTACTTCCAACCATCGTATTTACAGAACTTGCTAATTATGCTAGCACAGAATAGTACCCAACAGGTAAACATGATTCATTCGAACAGATTGTTCATCAACTCATTTAGAAGCCAGTCATGTATTCGCCAGAAGCATCAACTTCTTCTGACACGTCTACTAGCATCTCCTCTAATAAGTCATCTGAGAAGAAACGTTTTGATTTCACACATCTAGCCGATTCTATCGAACAAGAAAAGCAAGCTGTGAAAGTTGAAGATGCTTCCGCAAATGTAAGATACACCCGGACCTTAGTAGCTCATATTCATTCTTCCAGGTCATAACCCCTAGACGTCCATTAATGTTCAACCCAGGACCTTATCAAAGACCATGGTAAGCTACTTATCCTTAAGACTAAGTTTACAGTGTGTTTTAAGGTTTATGAATCCACGACCAAGAGCAAATGGCCGATCGTGTCGTCCCAGAAAGGAATTTATCTGCAGGCATTGTGATCGTCAGTTCTCCAAATCATACAACTTGTTGATTCATGAGAGGTAAACATTTTAAACATTGCCATATGTTCAACAAACAATTGCAGAACTCATACAGATGAGCGTCCCTACCAGTGTGATATCTGTGATAAACGTTTCCGTCGTCAAGATCATCTTAGAGACCATAAGTGAGTCCATTGACATTAAGTATAGCTTACTGATTTAATTCCTTTACAGATACACTCACTCCAAGGAGAAGCCATTCAAATGTGATATCTGTTCTAAAGGTTTCTGCCAAGCCCGCACATTACAGACTCATCGAGAAGGTCATTGTAAGAATGAGATGTAGTAGTTCCATGTATTCTTATACATAGCATAATTGTACAAACTACTTACTTATGAGGATTATTAAGATTGTTCATGTTATCTTGTATACATATCGCCCTGTAAATTTAATTATTCTAAACATTTCGTGCTAGTCACTCCTCAGTGTACAACGTCTGTAACTCATACATAGGTTAGGCATACTGTCGTTACTCATGCGACGACCAACTATTGAGCTGAGAGGAAATATTACCAAATTCTTCGACTTCTAAGTACCTTGTTCTATGATAACTGTTGAACTTAATGCGATTGTAAGAAAAAGAAAGAAGTAAACGACTCCCTATGAAGCTTCTCCTGTCTTCACCTATTACTTTCGTCACCTTTTCGTTTGCTTATCAGCTTGTTTGATTATGTTATGGTGTCAATATACACATAATAAGCAAATTCTTCCTATTTAAACGTGTCGGGAAGACTTTCGTTTCACCTATCTGATGCACTAAAACACAATCAATTTGCTCTAGATTAACTGTTCAATGACAGCCAGCAATCAGAAACCAGAAAGCATTAAGCTGCCGTGAGAAAGCATTCATAAACTTAAGAGCAAATCGAAATGATCAAGAGGAACAAGAGCAAGTAGATAAAACTCTTATTTGGTACATGTTAGCTATCATTGATAACTCTCTCTTCAAGAAAAAAAAACAAAATTCACAGGAAACTGATCATATCACATTCGGTGTCAACTTAGTTGCTTATACTTATACACATACATATAAACTCTGAGAAACTTTCGAAATATGTTAAGCATGAAGATATGAGATGAGTAGAATAAAGATAAAACCATAATTATAGTTTCACAAACATATGATTAGTAGAACTTAGTACTACGTTTAACGGCTTGAAGCCATAGAGGGAACGTCTTCACTAAAACCCGGCGACTATCGGCGTTTGGTTTGAAAACACTTTCGATACTTATCATATTTGGCAGATCCGCCTCTTTCCAAAGACCTTAAGCACAGTATGGAGTGACTTTTCAGGATAACAGTGAAGCAAACCTAGTTGAACCCCTGCCAACAGTGCCACGCCACGACACGCGACGAGACCTCCATCGGTTACTCGTTCAATTTCACAGTTCAACATATCAGAAATCGATTGACAAACAAAGTCATTGTGAGCTACACCTCCACATATTCTATAAACAATGTATTACAAAGTTCTGATGACTTATTCTAATTTCCACGTTTTCCACGTTTTTCACGCTTTTCGCGTGATTACGAGGAAGACATGAAACGTCATTTTTCCCTGACCTTGCGCAAAGATCGGTTGTATTCTAGTTTGCTAGGTAAGCCGTTAGAATATAACTCATAAAGCGATTCAAATGGTTAGTTATAAACATATTTTTTTGTTTTTTTGAAAAAATAACCTGATTTTTGATGTTTTTGTAGGTTTGACTTCGTCCATCATAGTCTGATATATTTGATAAACTCTATAAACGATAGACTCCAATATGGCTCGCACCCTTGAATGATCATTAAAACTCCTTCACAAACAAAACTGCCTACATGTGCACTTTTTTTGTATCTGGCCGAAGTCCCATGAATGAACAACAAGCCAACCCGTCATTTATTGGAGTTTGAAGACCTTTATAAAAGCTTATCAAGGTATGAACCACTTTCTAACCTCCGAATGCAGGTACGAATAATAATCCATTGGTGCTCTTTACAGCAAATGCCATATCACTTGTGTCTTGAACATTTTCAAACAAGCCTGACAAGCATTATTATTTTATGTTCCCCCATGAAACATTTGAAACCTATTTCTCCGGCCCACTTCAAAAGTACAGCGGTGTCATGATCATTTCCTTCTGCTATGTATACAGGTGTATTGTTCATTCGCCAGCCCACAAGTGGATAGAGGCCTAAAGTATTGTTTCGATAAATCATTATTAGTTAAGAGAACCATTCATAGAAGCATGAGGCTTGTTTCCCGTATTCATATCTACGAATGTGCCAGTGCCCAATGAGATTTTAACATCATGTAAGTCCCAACCACCACTTCCATAAAGAGCAGACTGCTGATCGGCAAGCTTAAAGGATTGCTGTTCTTGACAATTCGAACATAACACCTACGATGGCTGATATGGGAATTTTTCTTCCAAAGAAGGACTCCTTTATGAAACAGAGCTCTTTCGAACTTATCGAATCACATATGGGGGCAAGTATGCTAGTAGGGAAACCAAGAATTTTGATTATGACGTTATTGTAACCGTTCTGTGTTCACAATGATTGAATAGCTGCGATGAGCAAACTGACTATGTATGGATCATACAGTCCAGTAGATGAGATATTGGATGCATCAGCTAAGTAGTTATCACTAACACTTATTCGATTGATAAGCCATGTTTCCAAGCATCCGAAACCAAGATCATTATCATTAATTAAAGCTTTGTGACCTGGAATCTAAAGCACGGACTAGTATGCAATGAGGGGGCGGAGCTTACTGTCTCTAACGTTACTAAAGCTCTATGTGTTACCATAGCAGATAGAAATTTAAGGTTTTTAGCTGCCATAAACCTGGGCATACGAGTGAAAAAGTGGAGAAAGGATCCACCAGCATTAAGCATCTGAAGCGTGGCCCACGAGCATGCAGAAACTAGTAAATAAACTAACTTTGATAAATACAGAACCGTTCCAGTCCTCACAAGATTTCCTGGCGCGGGCATCATTCCAACAAACAATCTTATGTAGCGGTTTGCCTGTTGATCTGAAAAAACTATTTGCTCAAATATTTGCAACAGTTGTAAACTTTTTCCAAAACACAAAGGAATTCCGTTGACAACACAACGCCATAGCCACCGAGTCCTCTGCACTCACATCTTTCACTGAAAAAAATAATAAAAATTTTTTTTCTGATATCTAGAACGCACAAACACTCTGAACCACTCGTATGAACTGTTCAAGTAGTTTTTCAGGTGCGATTTCGACCCTGAGCTCCCATTCATCTTGACCTGATATTTCAATATCAACCTGAAATTGGAAAGGACGAGTGTTCGAAAACGAAAGTGTTAACAAACTTTCTCTTCAGCAACTTTAAGTTTATTACAAGACTTTCCGTATAGACAGGCTCTGATAGTGGTCGTTCCGATATCAACAGACACGATATACTGCATATGCCCCTGAAAGTCCATGTGAACTCTAATACAAACAAGGATGCAACGGTAACAGGAAGCTTGTGAGTAAGATCATCTCTGAATGAAGGAAGAGGAGAACATAGAAAATGACATTTATTATTAGTTTAATTGTTATACCCATGATTGGACTTGCAACAAGTAGCAATTGAAATACACATACAATGATAAATTAGAATACGAATATAGAAATAAACAGGAAATCGTCGAAAACGGAGAAGGAAGTAGTTATATGTTTGTAAAACTCAAATACCCTCTATTAAAGTCAGATGAAATGGATCACAGAGAATAAGCTTAAAAGCAAAAACAATTTAGGCACTAAAAACTTCCTATGTAGAAGAAGATGCTTCCACAACACACACACAACGATGTCGCACATATTGTGGGAGCAAATTTTTTCTTTAGGAATTAATATCACTAATAACCTTGAATCTTTCAGTCAAAAAGATAAAACTCGACGACAATCTATTCCGAGAACAGAAAGATAACAAGGTCAATGAATGTACAAACCACAAAAATCCCAGAAAACAAGTATAGCCGTATAACTGGAAAGCCTAAAATCCAGAAAAGTACTCTGGCTCTTTCATGAAGAGGTCTGATAAAGAAGTGCAAGAGCAGTCTTTCTAACCAACAGTAATTCATCCCTTTAACGTATGCGATAAGAATCTAATCGATATCTAGAATAAATAATAAATAACGATATTCATAGGTTCCCCAACTTTTAGAAGTTGAATTTGAAACTGAATGGTCCACCTCCCCCTCCTCCACCGCCACCACCTGGGAATCCGTGGAAGCCGTGATGGAAGTTGTGGAATCTTCAATGATATCATTTTAAATATTCTTTGTATTCTATGTAAAGTACCCATGATGGTCACCGCCGCCGCTATGAGATTCGGGGTCAAGAGGATCGATTCCATGGTCGAATTGTCGCCGTTTTTCTTAAAATTATTGAACTCAAATCACAGACTCAAAAATGTATACCTTCGTCTGATAACACCTCTTTTGCTGCCGCAATGTCAATAAACTTCTGTTCAGCTTTCTGAATTTACGATATGAAATAGAAGCTTCAACCAGGAAATAGCTACCTTCTTTTCGGCATCATTAGCGAAGTTATCAGGGTGCCACTTCTGAGCGAGCTTGCGATAAGCCTTCGTGATTTCTCGCTTATTTGCGTTTCTAAAGAATGATACATAAAAACTAATTAAAAGATTATTAATACCTCTTTACTCCTAGGATCTTATAGTAATCTCTTCGTCCAGCTTGCTTTTTCAGTTTCTGAGCTCTATCAAGTCCCTCGTTGGCACGTTTGTTCTCTTCGCTGACCTCTTTGGCCTTCTTATAGTCATCAATAGCTGAAAGTAACAGGAGTTGGAACAGACAAGATAGAAATATAGTTACCTGCATCAAAGTTTTCATCCAACAAGTAAGCCTCTGCTCTGTCGCACAATACGTCAATGTCATTAGCATCATCATTCGTCAAGACCTCAGTACATTCTTGAATGGCTTCTTGGATATGTCCAGCCTTAGAGAAAACATAAAAAAAGAGAACAAAGCAGAATTTTTACCTCTCTGTTGCACTTGCAAGTCTCTCTGAACACGGCGAATTGAATACTTGAAACTTCTTTTTCGAATTTCAGGATCTGTTGTCCCTTTTCAAGACAACTCATCCAATCCGAATTTTTTACAGTGTCTAGGAGACTTTCTCTCATCTTCGCAAGCTTCTTCACCTTCTTATAGAATGGGAAGCATTGCTTGTGATCGGGATTGAGCTTCAAGCACTCTCTCACTTGGCTGCAATTAGAGAAGTAAATCGATGGGAAACAAACAAAAACACTTACCCTAGAGACTCCTCTACATCACCGATGGAATAATACATTTGTGAAATTTCAAGAAAAGCATCGGTACTATCAGCTACAAGCTTAGTGTAGGTTCTCATATCCGCAATTGCTTTCCTAATCTCTCGCCTATCTTCATAGCATCGGGCACGCATCTTATAAAAAGAAGCATCCCATACCATATGCTAAAAGAAACCTTAGAAAACATTAAGCACACCGTACTTACTTCTAATGCTTTGGTTAAGTAATACTCAGCATGGGTGAGCTCTTCGTTCTCGAAAAACAGTTTGGCTTGGTGAACATACTGTCTGAGCTGTGAGAGCAATTCAATTTTACTAGATACTTCATCGTTGGCACTGTCGTGAGCGAGCTATAGATAAACAAAAAATAAACTGAGACTATAAACAATAACTTACCACTGCGTTGTAATCAACCTCAGCATTATCTATATCTCCTTGCTTCAATAAAACATTAGCTCTCGATATACGTGCCTACAACGAAACCAAATAGACTCGAACGAACAATGAAAAGTTACCGCGGTGAAATCAGGCTTCAATTCAATAACTCTATCTAAATCGGGGATTGCAGACTTGCTTTTACCCATAGCCAAAAAGACGGTGGCTCTTCGATAAAGGGTCTGATAGTTGTTGGGATCGAGCTCAACTGCAGCATGGTAATGGGTTAATGCATCACCAAATTGAGCCTACAACAAGACGACTTCATACGATTACAAGACAGAAAGAACTTGCCTTGGCTAAGAATTGTTTACCCAGTTCGAGATGTTTTTCAATCTCTTGTTTGTTGGCAAAACCATAGGCTGAAACGGCGCTCATTAGTAAAACTAAAACATCAATGATCTAGTACAACTCACCAAAAAGAACCGTCAGTAACGGTATCCCATGGTTAAGTGAAGGAAACAGCATATATTATTAACTAACTTGCGCCAGACGCAAGGTATTAATGTATGCTACAAGTCTGAAAACGAAAAAAAGCTTAATTATGAAAGAGGAAGCTCAATTGGCGTGAGAGCACAACGTGGAAGATCGAGCAAGGTATGGTAAACACACTACTAACTCTATGCAACGTCAGTTTATACGCAATCGAGACGCGTTGAAATATGAGTGACGCCACTTTACGTACGCACTTATAAAAATACATTGGACACTGCTGGTTGTAATAAGAGAAACATTGACTGTGTGAAAAATTGTGGATTTGATAAATTCAATGTTTGAAATCATTTTTTGCTCTCAAAAAATAGTAATGGCTGAAGAATTTCTTTAAAAATTTCATTTCAATTGTTGGGTGGAGTTGACCGCGTTTCCGTACGACGACGTCTTGTTTATCTTGTATGTCAATGACATAATCAGTACAGAATCATTAAAACTAATCAATGACAGTAGGATATTCCATTAAAAGTGTTGAGATTCATGATTTTTTTCTGTTCGTTCGGGTATATTTACGTGGAAAAAGCAAATATGCTAATCAGAGTGGCGTGGTTGATAATTCATTTCTTGCATCGCAGTCAGACAGATCGGTTGTTTTGAGTTCATGGTCTGCAAGGTTGCTAGGGAAGGTCATTCTTTTTGTCTCGCTATCAGCTTCTTCCCTCAAAAATTGGTTGGCAATGTCTAAAAGGTTTGAGATCATTTGGTTTTTTTAATTGAGAAGTTAATTCTTGTGTGTGTGAAGGGTAATGAATGTTCAAATGAAGTAATTTGTCCTTTGCGATCAAACGAGTAGGAGAATGCCATCTGCAGGCTATTTGTTAAAAAATCTTTTCTGATGTCTTTGCACTACATGTACGGGAGTGCCATAGAAGGCTGCTGTATTCTCTTGACGTCAAAATCTTTGTATCAGATTGTCCGAGCCGGAGCCGGAGCATAAGGAAGCTGTTTTGGTAGAGATGACTGTCTGAGTGACAGTTCCGTAATGCGCGAATATAGATGAGGAAGAGACGATTGATATATGATGGTGGAAAAGAAGCCGCCAGATGGACAATATGGCAACAACAGCTAAAGATGGAAACAAAGAAACGAAGGTCTTTCCAATCTTTTGCTCTGACTGATTTCATTTCTTTCCAATCTGAAAGTGAAGATATGGAAAAAAAACCAACCGTTCAAGTCGTTTGATTGCCTAGAAGTGAAAGACCACCCATTCCGTTAAAGTTCACGTGACAAAGGACGAGAAGTATCCGTAAATAGATGTTAGCATGTCCTGATATGTTTTAATTGATTTATAACTTAAAATTATATTGAAGATCATTGTATTGATCACTCCCTTTGTATTTTTCAACATAAATTTCCTTGTCTTCACTCACAGCAGGTTATCTTAGCTACCGTCAATTATTTCTTCTACCACATTCGTATGTCGTATTCGATTTAGATTTACGGTTTTTTCATCTTCATCATCTTCATTTCGCACATTCGTCGGAAGGAAGAGCCAATATGATTTCGAATGACTGCATCATCCATGCTCCAACGGCAAAACCGCTGCCTCAATGGGTCTATCTGAAACTATTTCTCTAATCCAACCTTTTTCCGCGAAAAAATGATCCAATCATTTTCCAATTAATAGTAATATATGAGAATCGTGCAGCTGGTCTTTCTGCTATCAGAATTCTCAGGGTCATTTCTTGTACTTTTCTTATTTGGCACTTGGTCTCATCGCAGATGGTTCATCATCATCTCTCCGGCTTTCAAGACAGCTGCGAAAGGCTTACTTACTCCAAAGTCTTTCAAACTACTTAACTATAAATCAAAATATTAACATATTCGAATATTTCCTTCTTGTGTATGATATACGAATATCGCTATATTACGGAAAGATAATGTTCTGCCCTCAATCGTTCTCGAGACGATCATAACCCATCATGCTCATGCATGCTTCGTTTACCTCTTCAAAGAATCTTCTTTCAGCTTCTAACCTCATAGTTATACAGACTTAAATGCTCATGAATCTCAACATTTTTCATGCTTCCTCCTTTTTTTTGCATGAGAATGGTCAAAAAGAAGAAATGCAGTAAAGGGTGTGATCCTCTTTTGCCCAGCAGCTCGTCGTTTATCAAAATGTCTGGGTTTGCCTCAATCCCCTTTGGACTAGAACTGAAAACATCAGAAGGTTTTCCCTCATACTGGTTCTCTCTCACTTCTTTCTTTGCCATTCTCTTAATATCAGACGACCCTTTCCCATTTCGAGTTTGAAACCCGAAGTACATTCATCTTTTAAGCCTTTCTCCCATTATTGTAGATTTGGTATCTTGAGCAGCAAACGTGCATCTAACATACATAACAAGTTGAAATAGAATCATTTGATTTCCATGAGGTTCGATTCTTCCTGATTCTTTTGCAGCTTCGTCCTCTCCCTCTTTCTCTCTCTATTACTACCATACATCTTTCCTGTTTAATTGTTTTGATTCAACAACTATTCTACCCAAATAAATCTCGTGATCGTGATACCCGTTCATTAGAACAAAACCATCAAAACTTATTTTTTACTTTTGCCCCTTCGTCTAAGATGGCTTTTAAGCTTCGCTCTTCTCCGCACTATCATAGTCTTTTCGATTCCCCAGGAGTTATATCTAACAGACAGAACGTTTCTTCTTCTCTTTTTTAAAATGAAAATGTTAGCAATCAGACCTCCTTCGTAGCTATTTGTGATCAGATGTTACAGCTGACCAAGACTAAACATTGAATATTTTCTATTTATACAAGTATTTGATTAAATAATGTTATTTAAATCATATGAAGATAGGTACAATGATCCAATCTTTATAACTTAATGTAAAGTTGTAAATTCGCTAAACTCTTACGCGCTTACAATAACTTCTATGACATCTGAGCTCTCCTCTCATCACCAATGTTTTCAAATGAAATTTAGGAAAAAAAAAATGAAAATCGAGGGGGTGGTGGTATACGTAGCATTTGATAAGAAATGAAATGCAACCGTTCTACGTGAGATTACGTGTCAGAATGAAAGTACTACATCACGTCATACCCCCACGTTTTTGACGGCTTTCACGTATTTCACGTAACAATCAATCTATCTAGGTGATCTTTAATATGATAGGACTAGGTAGTGCTCTCTTTCTCAGTTATTTTATAGAATTGGAGAAAGAAGGGAGGTCAGCTAAAGTGATCGCATTAACGACTTTACATTGCATTGCTCACAAATCGTTCCAAGCATAAGAAAGAACATCATTTTGCATTTGAAAGCTCTCTATGCGCTCTTTGTTTACCAATAAACGATGCTTAAGAGAATTGAATTTTGAAAGTAGAATGAATTGCTTTCTAACGTATTTGTTATCAGTTAATCATAAACTTATTAGGATCCGGACATTAACCAATTGACATTCAAAATCATATTGTTCGTGAGAAACCCGATTCATTCAAATTTCAAAAAACTTCTTCTTCTTCCCCTTCTTAGCATCGTTTATTTTAATTTTCTGCTTATCTTATCAAGCCATTGAACATATATCAATAGCAACCAAATAAATTTTAAAAACTTACCAGTTCAGTAAGCATCTCCACCATTCACCCAGCTGAGAGGAGCATTGTTGCAGTATGCTAAATACTTCTTCCACCAACCTATCGTTCATATACAAGTCATTTGAAATCAATATTGAATCCAAAAATGAACGGAGGATCGCATTTCGGTTCTAAATGAAGATTTATTAGACGACAATCGCATGTTTCTCTCGTTTTGCTCTATCGTTTCGTCTTTTCCCAAAGTTTTCTTCATCTCCATCATCATCATCGTTAACATCATTATTTCGTTTGCAATCATTTTAACTTCTCTTTATCAAATATTGCCTCATGAGAACCATGACTCTCTATAATTCGCATAACAGTCTCTTCATCCCATCCCTACATTCATTCATCCTTTTCCTTAAAAAACTCATTCGAATACCTTATGTTTTACTTTTTTCAACTTATCAATTCATCATCACACCTCTTGTCGAAAGACAAACTTTTCCACTGACGGAAACTGATAAAAATGATCAATAATCCAATTATTCTCACTTAAACCGAGGACGAACTAGCCAAATGAGAATTAACTAAATTCTATTTTTTGTTTTCTTTTCATTATTTCATCCGCTTTCACAGTGTTTTTGAAGTTCCCTAGTCATCTTCTGCTTCTCGAAATATGATAGTATTAAGGAAAGATGAAGCTCCAACACAAGTCACAACCTTAGCACTTTCAGCTCAAGTTTAGAACAGAAAAAAACGATGAAAACCTACTCGGCTTACAATCCTTCCTATTAATATTCGTCTACTATATTCCGTCAGTTGAATGATGTGTGATGAAACCTAAAAATAATTTAGCCCTTCACCTCATAGTATCAACGTTTGGGTTCAGAAGGTCTGTCTACTGACGTTTGTCATTGCTCGTCTCCCTCTCCTTCATTCGTTTGCCTTCAAAAATAAGAATTTAAGACAATTATAAAATCAGATCTTTATCACATACAATCTGAGCTAACTTTTATTTTAAAAATTCAATGATCCTCCTTTCTCCATCTCTTCACAACTGTTATTGATCAATTCAGCTCTAGTTTTCTTACACAAATGAAGATTGGTTGTGTGTCCTTTGTACCGCTTTAGTACGTATGAAGGTCCATTTTGCTTCCAATTCAGTTGACCATTACTCCTTGAAGGAAAAAACTTGAAGTTGTACTCCTTATTGAGATGTGCAATCATGAGACTCAGGTGAGGCAGAATCTTCATTCGCACCCACTTCGGTGAAAGTGAGCTATGAAGAACATCTCTCCTTAGATTGTTTCCTCATCCTCATAAACATCTTCATGAATGTATCCAAGAGTGTTAAGGAAGCATACATACGGTATTTGCTTATCCTACAATTTCATCAAACAACTTTACGTTTCTTTTCTCATAAAAAAAGTTCTCAATTTCATTCCATCGGTCATTATTAAGTCCAGATAATCTATTATTTGGCTTGTTGTCCTTCTTAACATAAAAAGTCTCAAAATGCGATCAGTCTCTACACCAACCATGGTATTTCCATTAACCGTCAAACGTGTGAGGTGACAGTCTGCCGTTCAGATTATTATCGTTCCTAAATGTTTTTGGAAGACAAGAAAGAAAGACAGCGTTCTCTCTTTCTCTGCTTCAACTGTCTCTCCGTTGTCAATTTTACAAATATTTAATAGCCATATCTTCTGAATTTGGCCAGTTTTCGCGCACTTTGACTTCTTCCTCGTCTCCATATGATTCATGCTCATGTCCTTTTTCAGATTTGAGACGCACAAAGAGCTGTTAGTTCAATCGGAGCCGGGGATAGTTAGATACGCTGAACAAGCATATATTAGCTTGGGGGGTAAGCCATACCTTTTTCTTCATTTTAATGACTCCTGAACAATCACTGAGATATTCTTTACGAGATGTTTTTTCTTGAAAAACATTCAATTGATTGTTAATGAGTCACAGATGTCCAGCCCACCCGACAGTTGTAACTTCTTAATCTGATGTAACGAACAAGTCGAAACCCACTGACCAGAAAATTCTCTGAATATGAAATAGAAAATACTTTCAGTACTAATATGGAACAAACACCTGCACCATCTCGTATGCCTCACTCAGAGACTTCACCCTTGGTATATCATGAAATGCAGAATGGCTATCCCGAAAGGGCTCCTTATATATCATCACAACATATGTATACAAATACTTTCTGAAACAATAACAAAGTTTAATCTTTAAGGAATCACTCACAATCTCCTCTGTCTATTAGAACCAATTATGCTACTCCAACCTCCCATTTCAAAGTTCAGATGTGGCAACAGCCTATATTTGACAGTGGGGTTCAATCCATGCTGCCCAGTCAAGTAAGATTTTCCCAAAAATCATTAATAGAGCTTTAACCCATCTCGAAGTATTATCGTCTTTATCATATTACAGACTCCATCTGTAATGTCCTTCCCAGCCGGATCTGAAATGTCAGCGATGTCAATGATGGATCAAGCGGAACTTACAGACATTGTAATAATTCATTTTATATAAACTTTCATGGATGATTTTTTAAGCAACAGCAGAGGTTTGACAACATTCCTCCCGGAGCAGCTGCTATTCCTCAGTTATTACAAGTTATGAGAGAAGGAACTGAAGAGGTAAGCAAGTTTCTGTGATACTCACCCAGTTTCCTTGTAGGGCGAAATAATTCGGGCATTGTACATGATTCAAAAAATTGCAAAGCTGGATCAGCGAGGTGATTATGAGGCCAATATCGGAACGACTGACGTCATTCATGCAATAGCCTGTTATTTACGTAAAAGATCATCAGATGTAAATTCGAAACATTAGAATTAGAGTCACCTCATCCATTTCTAGTTAATCGACCGGGCAGCTTTGAGCGCCTTGTTCCATATCTGTAGCAGAGAGCCAGGGCTATCGTTAGTATTTTCATTCATTGACAACGGAGGTAGCGACATTGTTAGCGTAATTACAAACAAAATAGAGTAAGCATCTTGTGATAAGAACGGAGGAAAATCAAACCTTTCCAGGGGCCAATGCTCAAGTGTTAAGAAGTACGCAATCCTCATACTTCACTCAGTACTTAGTGACAAAAGACGGCATGAATGTGTGGAATTAGCAAGACGATCAGGAGCTTTACGTGTAAGTTTCCACCTGCAATAATTAAAACATAAAATGAAAAGAAAAAATTATAAAATTCAAACTTAACAATAATGAGCTTAACACCAAGCTCCACCCTAAACACACACATTAGCATAAAGGACGCGATGGCGTACCGGAAGCTCATTTTTAAAATTCACGCGAGCGTGAGCGGTTGCTCTTCCCGATGTTATACCAATCAATACTAATATCGTTCTCTTCAGAACATTACGGGTACCTTGCAAAGGGAGCAAAGTGCCAAATTACTATCGGTAGCTGTCGATTTATTGAGGATATTGTTCGAAGATAATAAAAAAGAACAAGTTAGTTTCTAATGTTCATTTAGAGTTATACCTTTGTTTCAGTTGGAGTTCATCAGTTTGAATGGAATTCCTATACTCTTGAATATCTTGCAAGTCCAACAATACGAGAACCTTCTTCATTCCGTCACTGGAGTTCTGAAGCAGCTATGTAATCTGGTAGGAAATAAAATTCTGATCCTTCTCTATAGGACCCTTTTTTCCAGTTTGGCACTGAGCTGGTACAACATAAGGTTCTAATCGTTTTATCAGAACAGTTGAAACATCCATCCGTGAGACTGGTAACACGTTCTCTGGAAACTATCCGTAATCTATCGGATGTATGTTCACAAGAACCGAATCAGACTAAAGTTCTCAGGAACCTGATTCGTCTATTAGGATCTGATAACCCGAAGATTGTGTTATTCACTGTCCAAGCCCTTGGTAATATGAGCGCCAACAATGCAGCGAATAAGGTTCGTCGACTCAGATAACCTGAACAAGTGGTTGTTCCAGACATTTTTGGAAGCAAATGATGTTGTCCATAACCTCCTAGTCATGATGTATAGGAATAATATACAAATGCAGAACGCTGATCAGTCGACCATGAGGACTATGGAGGATCTAAACGTGTGTTTGTCTATCCGGTGAACTCCATTGAACTGTCGTTCTTGTAGGATGCCATCCTGATTATCTTCCGACATCTATGCTGTGGTCATTCAAAAGCAGAAAAGACCCAAAGTTACATTCTTCAAGAGCCGGGTATTTTCTTCGATCAGCTCAGAACAATGAGACCAGTCTTAATCAAAGAAACATTACAAGTTAGTTTACTAGGTAATGCTGTTCTATGATTTCTACAGTTACTCAACCGCCTCACGAATCTCGATACCAATTTGATGACTTTCAAAACGTTTGCAGTTCAAAATGAACAGCATATGTATGGATTCATAGAACAAATAGTTTACATTCTCCGTGTTTGCTGTAACCAGATTGTCGAGAAGGTAAGGGAGGATTAGTACATTTGGCTTATGAACCGTACTTGCTTACAGAATATTGAAATCGAAAGAGTTTGTGTGTATGAACTAGTAACTTTCTGTTTGTCAATCTTGGAGTCTCTGTGTAGAGACAGATCGATATTGGAGAGGGTAATCACCAAAAGTAACGACCGATGTCATACTCCATGTTCAGACTGTGCACTTGCTAAAAACACACAGCTCGGCCTGTCGAGAACCTTTTCTACTTGGTGATGTCTTCTTGCCCGTTTTCTTGCTTCAACAAACCATCATTGACAGTCCGGCTATGAAACGAGCCGCTATGAGGTTGATTGTGATTCTAGTAGCACACCCTGACGTGAGTCGATGTACCCTCTGCCTCTTAACCAAATCAAATGTTTAGATAGTTTCAATTTTCAATGTTAAATCAGATCTGAGGTCCTATCTGACACATTACAGTAACGGGCCCGATAGGGATCTAGGTAACTTCACAAGTGGGATCATATACATAAGACTTATCTTTTCAGCGGTGTTAGCAGACGAGGCTTGTAGAATCTTGATGTTAGGAGGGTTCCCTGCGGGTATGAACTGTTCTTCTTATCGAGAGAAGCTTATTTCTTCGCATGGGAATCCTTTCGACGGACCTGCGTATCAACAAAATGAAATAATGAATACAGGACACCACACAAACTATTCTCATTATATGAGTAATAACCATGGAGCTCCTAGAGCCTCACCAGTTCCGGAACCAATGGAAGGAGCAGGAGAACAATTTCCTGGGGTTGTAACAAACATATATCATTTGACTTCATTTATTTGTAACAGATGTCGTGCATTGATGACACATGTATGGACTATCCATTCGCTACTGTTTTCAACAACACAGCCCAACCAAGCCCTTTATATTCCTGTAAGTCATTCTTATAGTACCTAAGCTTATTGTTTTTTTAAGCTCCCAATGCGACAGTGAATGAGGTGATGATGAATAGCCCTAATCAGAATCAATGGAGTTCGATGAATCCATCTTCTTCTACACCTACTCATCCACAACCTAGCGTATACCAGAGGCGAACACATGCATATCCTCCTGATCCTGCTCATCAAACTTGGGATGATTGCCCTCCCATACTGTACGGGCATTCTGAAGTGGCTCCATATAATCACGCTTATGAATCGAATCGTAGACCAGAGATACCTGGAGTAGACCTGTCAAATAACGTATATCACCCGTCACATCCACCATCTACATACTACCATAGTCATCCCTCTCATAATCAGTATTACAATCGGCGTGATAGTAAACACAACACGTGATGTCTTAGTCCAATGATCTGTTCCCGTTCCTATAAGAACTAAATTTAAGTAATTGATTGTTCTCTTCTTGACAGCTTTCTTGAAAGGAAGCAAACCATCACTTTCGAGTCTCGACTCCCTTCTTCGTATTTCCATGTATGAGATTCCCTGTCCACTAAGTCAAATCAAATCTAGTTTCCGAACCAATGGGTAGTATATGTTCGAGGTTATACAATACATTAACTAACATTTTGATGTGCCATCAAGTACTGAATATATAAACTAATAAAATATTATTGAATGCACAAGGGTGTTTATTCAATGTCAAGCTGAAGATCAGAAGAGGTAAATCTTGCATTTAGCAAGGGCATGGGAACATATACAATTCTCGACACGATGGAATATTACGAACATGATTCCAAATGAAACAGAAATAATAAGTTAGATAAGAAACAGGAGAGTTAGTTCTGAGATTTTGGGTTAAAAGTCACTTTGCCAAATGCGAATTACTGGATCTGACTCTAGACCACTAGATACAATCAGATTCTTGCTAGGGTGGCAATCAGTTCCTATGACAACATCTAAACATAACTGATTGAGTGACAATTGCTTAACTCACTAACCTTTATGTCCCTCCAGAGTTTGAACTACTTCTTTCGTCTGCAAGTTCCATATGACAATCTTGTTATCTTCTGATCCACTCACAATCCACTGAAACAAAAAATAAATCTCGAGCCTTTTTTTCTAAACAACTTTTCCTCCGGTGACAGAGAAGTTGGCGAAAATGCAGTATTTTTCATTTTTATGTCCTTGATAGGTTTTCAGACACTTTCCTTTGTTGAAATCCCATAGCTTGAGGGTACTGAATGAAATCTATAAGCTACGAACTCGAAAAGCCGTTACCTGTCTAGGGTGGCGGCAAGAATGTATTTTCCGTTTGGAGAAAACTTGACAAAGGCAGCAGGTGGATTATCGTCATCTACAAGGAACTTACGTGACAGATCCAAGAACTATGACTTACCAACGAGAGTTTTCACACACTGACCATTGGCAGTATCCCAAATGCGGACTAGCCCATCGTATGAACTGGAGCAGATCAATGTTCCATCCCTGTTGAATGAAACAGCAGAGATGGGATCCGAATGAGCAGGTAAAGTTTTCACGCAAGACCCTGACTTCACATCCCAGATTCGAACAGTTTCATCGAAGGATCCTGAAGAGTACGTTTGGTAAGAGATTGTTTATCACACTTACCAGAAACCACTAAGGATGACTGAGGATTGAAATTACAACAGAAAACATAATTGCTATGACCTTTGAAGGTTTTCATGCATCTTCCGGAAGGAAAATCCCAAATCTATAAACAGACATAAACCCAGTCAAAGAAATCATTCAGACGAAATCTCACTTTCAAAGTTTTATCGTCAGATGCGGACACTAATAACTTGGAGTCATAACTCCACGCCACATCACTGATTCCGAGCTTATGTCCGGTGATCTTAAACGAATCAAGTCATGTTGATTAGAAAATATGGACACTTACCACTTTCTCATTCTTTCCATCTTCGACTGCCCATATTCTAATGGTTTTGTCAGCAGAGCACGAAGCGACATACTCACCACAAGGTGAAAACTTGACTGATGACACTGACTTAGTATGTCCACTCAGCTGTAACCTCAATTTATAATTAGGGAGTTGCCCTTGAGGTGGCTGAAAGTTGTTAATCGTTTAAACAATATTGCTCATATGATATCAACCTCTGATTTTTGTTGAGTTGGCGTGGGAGTTGCAGCAGTTGGAGGTGTTCCATTCACAACCTGCGAAACACAACAAATAGAAAAAAAACTAGATTGTTAAACTTACCGATTGATTTTGAGAGTTTGAGGGCTGTAAGTTCAACGTCGGTGGAACTTGCGCTGTGGGCTTAGTAACAGTTTCAGAAGTATCCTGAATTCAAGAATGACACAATCGAAAGAAAGTACGTTCATACCATACTGGACATAACAACTGTTCTGATACCTAAGAGGCTTAAAGAACCTGAAACATGTTTAAAGAAAGACTCAACAGATGCGAAGTGGTAAAGAAGGTATTAAACCTAGTTCAAAACATGTAAGAAGACAAGGAGTTAAAGATTTAATAAATATGTTAATTTATGTTTAGCGCAGCCAAGACTTCGCTACTGCATTCATACTGAAAGGAAGTAGACAAGCAAGTTTTCCCGAAAAATACCCAAATATGAAACCTAAACAGATAAGTAAACAGAAGAATAGGGCTAAATCCTCAGACCTCCAATAACATCTAATATATAATGTCTACCCAGAGCAATCCTAGAATACCCGACAGAAATAGGCAATAACCACAATAAACAGTTCGTATTGGGATAAAGTGTCATCCTGAAGCACATAATAGATTTAGAGTGCAAAGAGATAACTGTACCATATAGTTGTTAGCAAGGTTGCTCTTGACGTATGCCCAGAGGGAAATGAAAATACATCCGCCACAGGTGCAGCGAGTAACTGAAAATAAATGTAATCAGTAATGGATAATGTTGCATACTAGTCAGTATGAACAGTCACGCGCCGGTTTCGCAGATCATTTTTCACGTCATTGGCGTGGTGAGCGGTTGCATTTATGAACTAAAGAATAAAACTAACCATCTCCTCATTTTCCTCGTTTTCGGCTGGCCTTTCTCTTCTCACAACGAGTTTGATAATTCCACAACCGATAAGATCAATCAAGAGTCCTATGAGGGGATAAGAATTTTTTATTTGGATTTTATAGCTACCTGCAAACATAACCAGCAGATGAAATTGGGTATCTTCTGGATACTTTTTTCCATAAGCCGTTATCAGGGCTAATGCCGACCCCGCTATCCATATTGCGCCATGAAACTTAAAACAAGAAATTAGTATCTTGTAGAGCCTACATACCGTCCACTCCCAAGGTCTGAAGTAATTCTTGTGTTCTGGTGCAGCCACGAAATATACAGAAAGGTATTGGTCAAACTCTATTAGACAGTTGAGGTAATCTGTTACTAAAAGAAACAATTTCTTCTAAGAGACAACTTAAAGGAAACATTGTACCGAGCATATGCAGACGACAACCTGAAGAAGAGACATGTAAGCGAGGTAAGTTAATGATTGAAGTAGCAACGACTCAACGTTCTATCGGAGATAACAAAAGTCATAATATTTCCCATTTATAGTCTGTACAACAACGTAACATCTGGATTTATTTTCCTTTTCTTGCTTTCTTCTCAAGTTTCTCGTGCATGTAAGCTGCCATAGGATCAGAAGAATGGATGGTCGTTAATTTGAAAGCCTCAACCTATAAGAGAATATGTGAGAAGACGAACAAAGAAAGAAAAAACCTCTGTTTCCGATGGAGCAGATATCGTATCAGCTCCCTTATTGTATTTTCGTTTTCTGTCACCCTAGAAATAGGTTTAAACTGGATTTAGTTCGATGATTAGTACCTCTTTGTTTTCTCTGAAAGCCTTGACTTTGTCCTTCTCAGCTTTTTTGATAGCTTTCTTCAGCTTCTCTTTTTCTAATTCTTTTTCTCTCTCTTTCTCTCGCTCTTTCTCATCTTCATCTTCCGAAGACGACGATGATGAAGATTCGGACGACGATTCAGAGGATGACTTCTCCTCTTCTTCTTCTTTTTCTTCTTCCTTGTAATCCTCCTTCACTGGTACTTCATCTTCTCTTATCTTTTCTTCTCTGATTACAGGTGCTTCCATCTTGGCTGCTTGGGTAATGCCAGCTTCTCCAATACAGTACGAATTTTTAACAAACTGATGACAACATTTGTATCCCCATTGACCATTCTTCCAGAATGAACCGAAAACGCTCTCATGATTGGATGGATACCTATAACTCCATCATCAGAAGCTGTTCGCTATCAAAGAGAAACGTACACATCTTCTTCATATCTACTCTTGATCTTAGGTCGTTCTTCTCCTTTAAGAATTTGTCCCTTTCTACTGTACTCTACATATTTCTCAGTTTGAGCAAGTAACAGCTCTTTTGGTGGGGCTTCCAAATATTCTTCACCTCCATACTTAGAGAGCAATTCCTAAAATACAACAATATGATAAACTGTTCAAGAACACACTTTATACCTTCTTTGTTTTGTTTTCAGCATTGCTCTTCTCCTTATTAAATTCTCGTTTCAATGCTTCAAGCTTTGTCGGTTCAGCTAAGGCATGAACATCAACACCCTGGCATCTTGCCTGCCAAGCGAACACTTGGGCTTCATTAGCTTCCACCACTTCTCCAGTATATCTTTAACATATGATTGATGTGCATAAATGAGAACTCAAATACCTGATGAAGTTTTCTCCAGAGAACTTGGCTGCTTCTTTCTCTTTTCCAGGCATATTGGCAAACGGATTTTCTCTCATAGAACGAGATTTAGGATCGTAATATGGAGCATTCTCATTGAGATTGTAAAGGTATTTAGCTGTATCTTCACGAATTCTCAAATTACGGACCTTAACGAGGCATACACGTTAGAGGAAGTAAAGCAAAGACTAACTGTAATTCTAGTACGGGAGTCCATATCAACGGACACACCAGCCATGTCAGCATCTTCGGCATACTTATCCTCATCTTTCTCTGCTTCTTCTTCAGGTTCTTGTAAACCTTCTTTGATCTGATCAGATTTTATTAATTTTCTAGCTTCTTCAAGTCTTTCAAACTCTTTCATGACCTGAAACACATGAATGTATGGGAAGGCACAATATTAAATAGAACAAACTTGTTTCTGATGAATCTCAGGATCATATCCATTCCATCTATCACGCTTAGCCTCGAATCCGAGAGATAGTACAGGTTGAACATAGTCATCCTCCTGGATGTCAGCCTCTTTGAACCTTAAACAAATGATTAGGAAGATGACAACAGAATCTTACTTACTTAGCTCCGACTTTTCTTGGACGTTCGAAACAGTCCTTCTTAACATGACCCATGGCTCCACAATTCTCACAAGCTCCTAAGCATGCACAATTCAAATCAAAACAGAATTAATGAAATACCTTTTCTGAACTTCGTAGCAGCTTGCCCTGTTGTACCCTTTTTGTACCATTCTTCCATAGTGGAATCAGTTTTCTGTCTTTCAGCATGAGGCCTTTGATGCTGAAGTCTCCCTCGGTTAAAAATATTTTATTTTAAACTTACCTTCAGTGTGGGTCCTTCACTAGGAACATACCATGGATTCTGTGAAATAAAATGGGGAATGTGTGGATTGATATCACGTCCAGTTTCAATATCAACCATAGCCGGTGCAGTACCAGCTTTACGTTCTTCCTAAAAGAGGGTAGAGGTTGTTTGAAAGAACTTTACAAACCTCGAGATCTTTATCCCTTCGATAATCTCCTTTGGATTTCCTTTCATCGATGCTTCCTGAAACTCCACCTTGCCGGAGCAAAGTTGAAGCAGTAACATGGTGCTTGAACGATGCCATTGCTGAAAACTCTACGAACTAACAAAGAAAATCTTCGAAAATAAGTTAAAAACAGTTCTAACACAAAGAATCATACAAGCATCAACCATTGTTCACAACAGTAAGATGATGAAAGTAAAGAAATGAAATTAAAAACAAAATATTAAGAAATTGAAAAATCTAAAAGGGTTTTCTCACCCAAGCCTTCGAATGTATAGCGTTAGCTCCGCCCCGCGTGTTTGAAAAACTGTGCGCCCCTTGCAAAACGATCAAGTATTATATTGCAATGATGTTATACCTAAGGATATTCATGAAAATTACTTTAATCAAGGAGCTGCCTTGTATAACAGGCAAAATTTGACAGGAATATGCTTTCAACTCCTTTTCTATATGCGATGCAACGCTTTATCGATTTTTTTGTCAAGCTCTACGCTTAGTATACGTTACAATGTAGTAGAGGTCACGTGACGTGAAAAAGCACTTTTCAGTTATTTTTGTGTTTTGAATTGCCGTATGCGGTTGTGCACTAACCTGTATTACCATTATGTCATTTTTATACATTCAGAAATGTCTGACTCCTCGTCATCCGAAAATGAGGAGGTACATGAGACTATCCGTACCAAGAAGTTGATCAAGAAAATGTCTGGTAAAGATGGTTAGTTGCATTCACTAGATTTAATGGCAACATTTATTGTTTCAGATGCAGAACTTGAGGAAGAGGACGAATCGCAGTACGATAAGACATTCAGTCAATTGGTGTGTTCGTCAGTATTGAAGCTTTTAGTTCGAATGTCTGTTTAGGGAATTAATGAGTCGCTGTGTGAAGCTTGCGATCGTCTAGGCTGGAGCAAACCTTCTAAAATTCAGGTTAAAGCTATTCCTGCTGCTTTAGAAGGTCGGGATATCATTGGTTTAGCCGAAACTGGGTATGATTTGATAATTTTTATCCGTTGAATTAAAAAACCACTTCAAGATCTGGAAAGACAGGAGCCTTTGCTTTGCCTGTACTTCAATCATTGTTAGATAATCCTCAGAAATTGTACTGCTTAGTGGTTACACCTACAAGAGAATTGGCTTATCAAATTGGCCAGCAGTTCGAAGCTCTTGGAGCTGGTATAGGATTATTAGTTGGTGGGTAGTTCATATGAAACCTATCTCATATATGGTTTCTTGTAGCTGTTATTGTTGGAGGTATGGATATGGTTACTCAAGCCATTGCTCTCGGTAAACGTCCACATATAATCGTTGGTATGTATTTGAGTGTGTAAAAAACCTGAACTGAACCTATTTAGCGACTCCTGGACGTCTTGTGGATCATCTTGAGAATACCAAAGGTTTCAACTTAAGAGCCTTGAAGTACTTGATTATGGATGAAGCTGATAGAATTTTGAATATGGACTTCGAAACCGAAATGGATACAATTTTGAAAAACATTCCTAAAGAAAGAAATACATTTTTGTTCTCCGCTACAATGACGAAGAAGGTATAGGCTTCGTTCTTTCTATTTACTGTCTTAAACGGGACTCTTAAGGTTGCAAAACTAGAGCGTGCTTCATTGAGAAATCCTGTTAGAGTTGAAATTTGTTCAAGATATAAGACCGTTGATAAGTTGAAGCAATACTACATGTTCATTCCCCAAAAATGGAAAGAAACTTATCTTGTGTATATTCTCAATGAGCTTTCCGGCAGTACGAGTATCATTTTCTGTGCAACTTGTCAATCAAGCATGGAGGTTGTTTCGTTTCACTGATCTTTCACTATTGTCTTGATTTCAGATTTCTTTAATGTTAAGACAGTTAGGTATGCACGCTGTTCCTCTTCATGGTCAGATGGGACAAGAAACGCGTTTGGGTTCTTTGAATAAATTCAAATCAAAAGCGCATAATATTCTTGTATGTACGGATGTAGCTGCTAGAGGTTTTACAATAATAGTTCCGAATTTGTTACTTTATGGTTTCTTTCAGGTCTTGATATTCCTCATGTCGATTGTGTTATCAATTATGATGTACCAACTGGTTCTAAAGATTATGTGCACAGGGTAAGCATTACTCTCATGTAGTATTACTATTTTAGCCTAGGTTGGACGTACTGCCCGTGCTGGTAGATCAGGAATTTCCATTACAATGGTGACGCAGTACGACGTTGAAGCTTATCAAAAAATTGAGAATCATATTGGTTCGACACAGCTTTCTGAATTCTTCGATAAGTCATGTTTCAGGAAAAAAATTGGACCAGTATCCTTCTGTTGAAAGTGAGGTTATGGTGTTAGTTGAAAGAACTCAGGAAGCATTAGAAGTTGCCAAAAATGAAGCCAAAGATTTGAACCATAAGGGAAAGAAAAGGTGACACCTACTGCTGTTAACAATCTGTTATAAATCAGTTTTGCAGGATGTTTGACGACGACGATTCAGCGGAAGTCCCTAAGAAATTCAGCAAAACCATCAGAAACAGCGATTCTAGTAAAGGTGGTAGAGACGGTGGTAGAGGTGGCGGCAGAGGCGGCGGCAGAGGTGGTGGAAGAGGTGGTGGAAGAGGTAGAGGAGGACGAGGAGGGAGAGGGAAGTTTTAATTGTTTAAAATTGTTTTTTCTTGTTGTTGCTTGTTGTTTTTTGTTATTCTTGTGTACTTGATAGATATTATGAATTTGAATGAATTTTTTTGTCAACAACTGTTTGTAAAGAACAAGACAGAGAGATGTTGATTGCATCTGTGAATATCATGTACTAGCAGTATAGGTTAATGTGACTCATTACAGTAGATGGATAAATCTGATCGAGCACAAGCTGAGGCTAATGAGCATTTTCAATATGTAACAGGGAGAATGATGTATGTCCAGGGTGACTCGGAAGTTAGAAAATAACTTTTCAACATTTCAAAGAAACTTTTCCAGTCTCCTTTGCAGTCCTGCATAGATTTCGTTGCCAGTCTTGTTCATTACCAATTGCTACATGTTTTGGAAAAATCAGAGAAGCATTCGATTAGGAAAACAAAGTTTAACATTTGAAAATCCTGGCGCTTACCCTTTCCTCATAGAAAAACAACTCTGAGTTTGAGATCAGTGCTGTTTGTTTTCCGTAGGAATCGTTTGTTATTACGCCGATTATTGAAATTAGCTGAAGTATGTGATGTGTCTTTGATTGAAAGACTAAATTGATTACAGACGGCTTCATCAATTCAATCTTTGTCCAAAGACGGAATAAACTCAAATGAATCTGGTAGTGAGGCAGAGTCAGAGGAAGAGCCGGATCCCATTCAGAATAACAAGAAGTTTCTTGCTCATGTGTAACTCTAATTGATCTTCGCATCCGAAGATTTTCAGGGAAATTATATAAAGAAATTTCTGAGGCTCTCTCGTTTATTGCTCTCGACGTTGAGGTAATTACTTCTCGCCGCTTATATTTCGTCTTTGTTCAGAGTGAGACTGATCCAGTAATGGAACAGCGCCAGAAAAGATTAGCTGAAAGGGTTGCACACTTTGATATGGATGAATATGAACGATTCAGTGCTGCTAGGGCGTGTGGTTTCAGTAATACTACTAGAGGCATAAAGATCATGAAAAAGTAAAAGTTACTCTCTGATTCCCTTACATTGTGCTTGCAGAGATATGAGGACATGGCTTGCTCGCTCCTTTGATGGTAGTATAGAGTTTGTAATGGCATTTTTAGCCAAAGAAACCGTTTCTTGTTTAGTAGAAGACGCCTTAGCAGTTCGAGAGCAGGTAAAAAGTTTTGGCTTTTAGTATGAATGAAATTTTTGCAGGAAAAATCAAATTGGTTCAAGAATGAAGGAAATGGAAACTGCCTTCAACAGAGGCACTATGAGGAAGCATTACGTAGGAATCTGGGTTATAGATATAGAGGAGATATTCTCTTCGGATATTTTTGACGCATTTACAATAAAAAAACAAAATGAAATAATTCGCACTTACCTATTCTCTAATTATAATGATGAGAGTACAACCGTTCCGTGTGGCAACATAAATGAAAATGAAATCACCCACGCAAAGTCACGTAGAATACTCGTTTCACGTAAGAACATCTAGATTTATGCTAATAATAGCTTGCATTCAATTTTTTTGTTTTAAATATATGTTAAAACTCGACGGTCCCAAAAAGTAAGAGAAAACTCCAGGCGCTGTTAACTCATAATTGATCTGAAGGCTGATGCAGCTGCTGCGACTACTTGTTCCTTGGTCTTTTGCCATACATGAGATGTGAGTGGCACAAAGTGCAATGTCGTGGTCAGTGAGGCAGTCGAGCAAGCTAAACTGGCTTCAATCCCTCTCCCTTGTCTTCGTAGTTTAAAATATGAACGTTCAATCTATCGCCAGTTCCTCTTTGCCAGTTAGTCAATGACGAATGAAAAAAATAGAAAGATAGAATAGGAAGAAAAGAGATTCAGAGGAAGAAGAATTGAAGTATAAGTGATGAGAGCAAAAAGCTGTGCTTCTACTGACGCAGGCAGCGTGTTCGCTCTGCTCTCTACCTCATCTCAGTCGTTCGTCCTTTGATTGTCACAGACCAGCACCAGGCTAGAGGCCGCGATTGCACTTGCAAAAAGTACATGCGCCAAACTGCGCCTGGGGCTGTTCTGGCAAGACTTCAGACTAAGAAAGATACGAATCGAAACGAAATGGAATGATCGCAGAATTCTCTTCTGATAGGTTGTAACAACTCCTTTTGATCTTTCATTGCTGTATTCATAATAAGCAGACTTTAAGAGTGAATAGATACGATGAGGCTAATGATGACTTAGGATGAGAAGTCTTTGATCGAAAGAAATATAAACCAGTGAGCATATAATGATTAACATTTCGAAGTAACATTGAAAACCGAGAAAAATCTCTATAAGCCGGAGCAGGAGCCGGAACATAGGGCGCTACAAGGCTGAATATCCCAACTATAAAAGTCTGTCTTCCTTGTTTGTTTGCTCATTGTAACGTATGACAACAGGAATTATAATGAAAATAGAAATCCAAACGGAATCTTCTGCTCGACAGGCATAAACCGAAGTTTAGTTAGTTTTCTGACATTATCTATGATAAATCTGAAATATACAAAGCTTATATCTATTTATATAATGAGACACATAAGCTTTTGAGCTTGATGAACTTTTAACGACGTTCCCTCCCTTCCCATCCTATCTTGATCTCTTTCCGAAAACGACTTTTTTTATTTTGGACGTACCATGATCACAAACTGACTGACGTCCTTGAAATATAGTACAGAAGACGTGCAAGGCAACCTCGCACTCAAAAGATTTTCCTAGAAATGTAGGTTTTAGCATAAAAACTGTTCTATTTAGATAGTTTTTTCGGAACCCCTAGGCATTTCGCTTCCCCCAAGTGTTCTATCTTCAACGAAAAAAAGAAGACTGCAAATAGTTATCGCCATAAATGCATAGGAACGCATGAACGGCGAAAGCTTTTGTTTGCTGTCATCGAAAGTAGCATATACACCTTTACCAAAGCCAATTCCTGTCGGGTGAATGTGGACAGGCGAAAACGTTCGAAATTTTTTAATCTCCGTCAGCAGCGTGGAGGAGTCAGAGAGCATCACAAATTCAGATAACTTAGATAGAAATTGAGGAAAGCAAAATATAAGGACGAATGAATAGAGACGGAACGAACAGAGCTCATGTAGACAAGAGGCAAAACTGGGCGAACAACAAGAGACTGCGGCAGACGCAGAGAGTGCAGAGAAGCCAGACATTTGCACTTTTTTGCGGTTGATGAAATGGGCGATGAGATCCTTCTGCATACAATGGGCATCACTCTCCCCCCTTCACTTTGCTTATACCCCTTTTCCATCTTTTGTCTCTCTTTTGTGATGGCGTCGTCCTCTTTCTGTTTTTTCATCCGAGGTGGTACATGAAGGTAAAAAGAGACTGTCGTGTTCGAAAATCTTTTCCAAGTACTAACTGAACGTCTAGAGACAGACACAAAGACTTCCATAACATTCATCTAATTGCTTTCATGACTCCTAGCCAACACAGTTGATAGTGTTCTTTCCAATCTAGTTTGAAAAAAAAATGTTCGAAAAAAGATTTTGCTCAACTATCCCCCAATTGAATCTAGGGTGGTTATTCATTTCATTATCAGACATTTGAGAACTCAAAGTAAATTTCCAGAAAATTCCACTGTCCTTATGGAATTATGTATAGTATGAACTTTTCAAAAGTTTATTTCAACAGTTCTCATCAATGCGGAGAAAAGGAGAGAGAAAAAGAGAGAGAGAGAGAGGGGGTGTTAGAGATAGAGAGATAGAGAAACTACGAACTACGTCTTCTTTCCTTTTCGGAGTTCAAAAGTTGGTTAAAAGGAAATAGGATGGAGTGTTCTCATAAAGTTGTTTCGTTGAAGAAAGACAAATTTCTATCAAGCTTCATCTTACTTCATAATTATTATAAAAATATTTGTCTGTTCAAACGTATGTCATTAACTGAATCTTATTTCTCCTTTTTCTTTCCATTTTTGGTTTAAGACCAACGGCGACCATTTTTCTGTTGATCTGCACGCTTGACCAACATGCACTTTCTATGTATAGCTCTTTCTGCTTCTCTAGTCTCTCTCTTTTCTTCGTTATCTCTCTTTCTTCTCTCTTTCTTTTCCCCCTATGGAGATAGATGTTCATTTAGACCATTGATCTCTTTATATATAACACCGAATATGCTTATTTCACTCAGTACCTCGTTACTTGGTCAAAGAATTGGAAAGGCACTTCATTCTCTTGCAAACTCAAATGGAATACTGTCATTCGAGTGTTGAATGTAGTTTCATACTCTCTCTCTGTGTTCCTATCATAATTTGATGAAAATTATGAAGAATCCTTGTTTATCTCTTCTTACTCTTTATCAGTTAGTCAGGCCACCAGTTCATGTTTAGTAATACCCTTTTTCTATTCAAGGCTCTCCACTTCCACCTCTATCAATTCTTTCCCTCCAATTTTTCACTCTCGTTATTCATTCCGAACATAGCTGTCCAGCTTGCCGTTCTTAACTGAACTCTCTTTCTAATTGTCTAGTCCCTCTAAAGTCTATGCGCTCTAGTCCTAGCGCCTCCGGGGTACCAGGCACTTCCAACGAAAGGACATTCTTAGTGCAAGTCGCTCTACGCGATCCCTTTATTTTCTTTTCCTGTTAACCCATCTCTACACGCTTTCTGAAACAGCTTGGACCAATGGACCTATGATTCTACCTCTCCTCTCTATCTCTGACTCTTCATAAGCGAAAATTTCATTATACTTTCGATTGCAACATTCATGCCTTTTTTCCCTTTCATCTTGTCATTACATTCATGTTTCAAAAAGTTTTTTTCTTCGTCTGCCATGACTGAAAACCCATTTCCTGTTTGTTTTTTTGGTCTTTTCCATTCCTGATGTCATCAAAGTTTGTAAGTAACACAGAGACCCAAATGATTTGTGCTTTCATCCCGATCAAACCACTATGTTCATTTCGAGAAAACACTCAACGAAGACAATATTCCTTTTCGGAAAGACATAGCCTTATCAGCTGGATTTGAACAATCATCATTCATACTTTACTTCGAATTTACCACCATCTGTTGACATTTCGTGAGGACGACAGCTCCGTACAATGTCGTCAAAGTTGCACTTCATTTCAGCAATTCTTGATTTCCATCTTGCCTATGTTCCATCATCTTACTTATCTCTTCTTTTTTGCTTTTTATGCTTTACTCTGCTTATTCACAGCTATTTGATTCTATTTCCTTTATTTAAACAATCCATGTTTCATTCACTTTTTGTTAGTAATTAATACTTCTCCTTCGCAACTATCTGTTCGAATTGTTCATTGATCCAATATTTTTCTGTTCGTGTGTCTCTATAGGCAGTCTACGAGGTGACAGTGACGTTCACTTTTCCCAAGCGAAGACTTCATTGCGCTGTCGCCATTTGCCCTTCTTGAATTATGGAATTTATTTAAAAAACACTTCTATTTCTGTCAATTCTCTCTCAAATTAAACTATAACCATATTCAATTTGCACATTATCGCTTATAATCGTTCAATTTGCATATACAGTTGTCTTTTGCAAGAGGGCGTGGTCTGTTCGCTGAGGTTCGTCGGCTATTGGTTATTGCTAGCATGTCTGACCAATAGCCGACGTTGCTTCAACTAAGCCAGTCTCAAAACCGCTCTGCCCATACTCGCCTTCATTCGTTTCGCTCTCCATTTGCATTTCAGACCATGCTGCGTTCACGTGGAACTTCCACGTGAACTTTATTTTGTTGTTGTGCATTCTTTGGAACGGTTGTTCATGTTCTCTCTCCCTTTCCTTCTTCACTCCGCGAGAGCGTTACGGTCAATTTTTCGTTTTTCTTTCTTTCCAGAAACAATTAGAACTTGAAATGTAACAATTATGATAGAGCTGTGAACTTCCTCCAACTTTCTGATACATTTCTAGTTCCGATCATCCATTTGAGCTCTTTTCCCATATGTTTCTCGATCATGCGATGACGTTGCACCTATTATATGAAAACTTTGATGAAACAACGTAACTAGTCAATATATTAGATCTTTTTGATCTTTGGGAAAGAAATTCGCAAGACGTATATCAGCGGATAGCCATTTGGATGTTCTATTGGGATTATCCATCTTCCATGATATCTCATAGGCAGCTCAATTCCAAAAGCATTTGTCTGATTCGCAATCTAAAACAGCTTTTCAGTTGGAAGTATCGTTCTAATTTCTCTTAATGTTACAGTTGTTCTTATTCTTTTTGTAAGAAAAATCTTTGAAAGCCATGCCTCTGCTAGGCGGCGAAAGAAAGTCGCATCTTATTGATTCGATATGTACCTTGGAACGTTTGCCGTGTCGACATGTAATCTAGTATATGAACTGGGGGGATTGGTATGGAGCTCCTTATTATTGAAGAACTTCTACTGTTTCAAATATGGTACATAACGTTTTTATCTGACCGCCTTTTTGGATGCCGGAAAAAATGGGCGAAAAAGTGCGTTCGCTTTGAAGTTAATTAATGTTCCGGTTGTTCGTTTGATTCAATGTCCTACAAAATGACTTTACTCAGATTCTCTGAGAATATAAAGGGTGGTCGACAGACCCGGCTTTTCATCCTGTAAAGAGAGACAAACACAAAAAAAAGATAACGACGACGATACAGACTAGCCGAACAGGATGACAATTAGACGATACGCATGACATTATTCGTTAATGACACTTTTAATATTTTGTTGCGAAAAATGAAAAAGCTCTATCTCTCTCTCTCTCTCTCTGTCTCTCTTTCTTCGTCTCTGTTTCATTCCTGTTGGAGTCATGGCAGAAGTTGCATTTCCTTTGTCTCAGAGTATAACAGAGTATGTTAAGCTGTTAAAGCCGAATTTCTGGCTCATAAGTCCTATCAGATTTACAAGCTTTTTATCCTCTCTTCCAACATTTTTTTTTCATTCGAATCTGCCCATCGGTTAACGAACATCTATCAATTTTTCGCTGTTCGAATCCCTTTAGCTATGCAGCCCTGAGGCTTGGCCAAAAAGCAAGCTGTTACCGTAATCCTCTATTGCCAAACGTCCCAGCTATTTCATGGCGCAATTTTTAGCCGAAGAGAACTCTGATTAGTTTCTTCTGAGGAGAAAAAAGTTCTCTTGAAACTTCAAGCTTAATAAAAATTGTGTCGTCATAGCTTTCTTCATAGAAGAAGGTATTGACGTTACTCTTATTTGAACATCGATTCGTTCGTTTTGAAAGTGTTCGAATCGATATGAGATTGAAAAACGTTTTGTCAGCTAAATTAAGGTTTGTCTAATGTCTCAAGTCATTTCCAATAGTTGCTCTGTCGCTATAAAAACTGCTGGCTCACGATTCTCTTTTTATGGCCAAGAAGTACGAGAGCAGAGGTTTTTTTGATTCCTCTTAGTCAACAAACTATGAAGGAGAGAAGAGAAAGAGCCAGTTGCCCTTTTTTTAGGATCTTCTTAGTCTCTGAGCCGTTGTGTGTCTGAGCTTCTAAAATAAACGTCCCGAACACCTTTTCTCATTTGATCATCAAAAATTTATATGCTCATTCTCTCTTTCTGAGTTTGTGTGCTCAGAAATCTTTGGAACAGACAGCCTTTGGTCAGCTTTCGATACCTTCCATTGATAGGCATGCAGTTGTCTCTTCCCGGATCGTACTCTGACTAATACACGTTTAGACATTTCATTGATTTCTCCTTTTCCCTTTTTTATTTTTCTAAGCTATGCTATCCCTAAGCTCTCCTTTTTCCCTCAGTGACGAACGGACGGTTTGCAAAAAAAAACGTTCTATGCTCAAGTCGTTCAGCCCTCCCACCAGGCACGGGCCTCCCCTTGTCTCGATCTAGTGCAACTGATCGATTGAGCCTGACTGGCCATTCGCCCCCTACGTTCTTCCGAAAATGTCCTCGAAGTCCGAAAATGTCCTTACTTCGAGTACGCCTATGTCTAAGCGAAGTATCAAAGACATCACACAGCATCTCCAATAACCGTGTGCTCGCATCCATCAAGAGAAGTTGCTTTACGAAGTTTTCGGTGCAATACCTCCACTGTCTATTGAACTCCACATCCCTCACCTCTCAGTTCTTTTTCCCTTTTTCTTTCTCTCTGTTCGGTTTCACTTCAAACCCGACCCACCAACCTACAGCGCATTCCCCGCCCATCGTTTTTTTTGTACTCTGCTTGTCTGAATGCGCTCTGTTAAAGCTGTACACTCTTTCAAATATACTCCGAACCAATACATCTTTCTCTTTTGCTGTTCCTCTTTCTATTTCTCTAGTTCTCTTAGACTCCCTCTTTCTTTCCGTCATCTTTTCCTGTCTGCTTCCCTCTCAATGCACGACGACGAACGACAAAAAACGGCTGGCCCGCCAGCATCATCACTTCTGCGCATCTACACTCTGATCAGGAGAGACATGCCTGATGGTTGCCTATGTAGCTCTCTGGCTTTCTATTCAATTTCATTCTTTCACTTATTCTGAAAGGAACTAAATGCATCAGAAGTCTCAAACTTCCAGCTTGGATGTACTCTGTTTATTGCTCTGCAAAGTATCGAGTTTGGTCTGCAAGTGCTTCTCAGCGCAATTATGAGGAAGTTTATAACACATCGACATTACAGATTAGAGCTTTCAGTTTTCATATGTTTCATATATATATATATATTTAATGAATAGTTACACAACAACACATAGTCAACCGCAATATCACTCTTCCATCACAGATACATTCGAACTGAATGTCTTCTTAGCACATTTTGAAAAATCTATCGGCCCTGTTCTTCCGTTTCCACTTTGAGCGAGCAATCCCACAGAATTATTTCTTGTACAAGTTCGCATGAAGGTACACCCCTTTTCTGTCCCATACAGTACCACCACAATTGGAGTGAAAAAAATTGATGCAAGCACCACGACTTACAAATAGAAAACTCCAATTATGAAATGTCATGGAGGGAGGGAGCCATATTTGGCCAACAGTTTTCCAGATCTGCTTTTCGGTATATTGTAACCAGCTGAGGTAGTTTTAAAGTTATGGTATTACGAACCCATAGCCTTTAATTCTACTTCGCCTGGTTAATAATATCAAATCGAATTCGATGCTATTTGGAACTTTCGACAATACAAATAACCTCGAACTACCGTCAATGAGAGGTGCGGCTGTCATATTACATCGTTTCAGACTTTTTTTCTGGAAAAGCAAGAAGAAACATTGAACAAGCTCGAGAACGTTTACAAATACTTTCAAATTCTGTTTTCAAAATAAAAATTCATTTGTTCGCTGCAACTTTACCGTAACCAAAACAAAATTGTCTTCACCTCTGTGCCTCCAGACGACTCAGATTCGCCTAAATCGCATATTCATCAAGCATCAAGGGCAGCAATTAGAAACGCAGATGTGCCATTTTGCTGAAAGCGAACCATTTATAGACGATAGGATGGGATGAAAAAAAGACGAAAGGATATCCTCCACATCGTTTTTATCCAGTTTTCAATTGACATTTTTATTATTTTCACGTCTTCTCTTCACTCAAGAAGCTGAAAATGTAATGCCAGGCAAGAAAAAATGAAAAAGAACATTCAACTCTACGATGTTGTCCAGCAAGTAGAAGTTTTCGAATCGTACCGGTTCATTCATCTATCCTAACCTCTCGCATGTCTCCCAAGAAGCATGCTCATACTCCAAATGACTTTTAAAAGATTTATTGATACATTAAAGGATTATGAATAATTATGGTGATCAACCTGAGAATTAGAGTATTCAACAATATTTTTTCAATAATTTCCCGTTTCGCTCTTTTTTTCAAAATCAACAATTGAGTAGATATGATTCACGAGGTGTTATGCTTCTATTGGTGGAACATTACTTGCAGAGTCTCCTATCTGGTTCAGCGGGATTGATCTGAAACACCTAAATAATATTTTTTTTGTTTAATTTATTGGGTAACACAGCACAATTTGTTTTAATACAAATTGTGAACCAAATTCATATATATTAAAGTTCCGTACCTGGTATGAGTTTTACCATCTCGGTGCCTCCGTTTGAACAAGCAAGACAGCCAGCAGATTTTGCTTTTCATTTGTCTGCGGAAGTGTTTACTGAAAGTTGTGAAGGGATTCAACTCAAGAAACTGTATCTTTCTCACCTGCTCATACAGAAGAGAAAAAAGTTTGCAACCTTCCCACTCACTACGACTGAAGAAGACAAAATGATCCATGTATACCAGTTTCGATCACCTAGCATACTGTTCAAGTTGAATATATACCTGAAGAAAATATAGTTTCTTAATCTAAACAAGTAAACAGTACATATTGGCTGATAGTATTGCCGATGGAACATGAGTAATGACTGAAGCTGATACTATGGCAGCTACTGTCACTGTTATATGACGTTCAGCTTTACATAACTGGCGACCCCATGTGCTACTGTAACAGCGAGCTCATACAAACGGTTACTTTGCTCTTCTACCTATTATTAGAACCGTTTCTACTGACTACAGTAGATTTCCTCCGTACAGGCTCGAGAAGAGGTGGAGTCTCGTCACAGCTGGCGCGTAATGATGAATCGACAATACTTGATCTTATAGTTGAAGAGCATTCTCGTGCAGATGTTGCAGTCTCGAGGAACTTTAAAGAAGTTAAAACATAGAAACTGAAATCAAATATACCTGTCTTCTATTGCGCAGATAGTAAATCAAGAAAGCATTCACAACTATCAGAAGAATCATAGGCAGCAGTATTTGAAACAAGACGTTTACAGTTATGAAAAAGGTAACAACAGTGTTACTCTGAGTCGCCACCATCTTCTGTTCTCCCTAAAACAAGATGTCACTTCCAACAATTTGAGATATTCTTTCTTACCTCTGTATGGCCTGTCACACCAAATGTGAAGTTCATGTGCAATGTGATCAAAGCTGTGAAGAAGAATATACCTGGGATGGTTATCCACTCTCTGTATGAGCAGCTTTTGCTTCAAAGCCATATTAGTGAAGAGCGACCGAGTTTTTCACTTACTGATTTATTCTGGCCGAGAAGGGAGACTTGATAGCCCACAATCGCTCGAATGACACTGCTACCATTAACCTGAAAACGACAAAGATCAGGGAGCATATCGCCTGAGTGCTTACCAACTACTAGCTCCTGAAAACCAATTGAGAAAGAAAGTGAAGTGTGATTTGTTCTTTATATAAAATTGGGCGAAATCCGTCAAACAAGATTTCTCTACTGCCATGCTTCCGTTGAAGTCTATAAGTCAGAAGTTAGTTTCAAACATATCCTTTGGTTACCTGAACATCTCTCATACACCCAGTCATGTCTTCTCGATAGATTGTTCGGAATCATTGAACATAAAAATAAAATATCCGAAATAGCAGCAAAAGCCAGCATGATATTCGTTCTGAAATCATGAGATGATCAATGAAATTGAATATTGATCGTAATGCTTATGATTTCACTCGATCTTGATTACTAGTGGTTACACCATACCGTCCTCCGTCATTTTCGGAATTCTCCATCCCACACTAACGCACACTAACGTTGAACGTAAAACTATCCTACCCATCTTATGACTTCTTCAAGATTTTACTGCCTTCATAAGAAAAAGTTAATTTCTTGTCTCACGATGAACGATCTCTCAACCTAGACCGAAGCAATATGCGGAAGCAGTGATCGTATTTCTCAAAAAAAGGAAATCTAAGTAATTTGAGAGAATTTATTTCTTTCAGTATGTTTATATCTACCTTATGCAAATACGATATACGTTTAGAGAACATTGCCTAGATCGAATAGATTGGAGTTAGATGCGTGTGCCCACATACTTCGACACCAAGAGCAGTTCACGTATCAGTTTATAACATTGAAACTACTTTGAAAAATTTGGCACTTAATAAACTTGCAATACTTTGATGTTTGTATTAGAGCTCTTTTTTCGCAATGGTCCATACGTTCTTGTCTTTTATCCAACTTAGGGTCCGACTCAGCCGTGAGGAGTTGGAGAGTCGGTCTCGGCAAATGTTCGAAACTGATCAAAAAATATTTTTTTTCCTAGAATTCCGTCAAAATTGGTGGTCATACTAATTCTGACCTGAAACTTCCGAATATCGAATCAGAAATTGATTCTGATGGTTCGTTTTCGAGATACAGAAGCTTTAAGATTGAGTGACGCTTTGGGCTTTGAAGTATTGAACACTGAGTTTCATTCGGACAAACATAATATGTTCGGGATTGTTTGTGTTTATCAAACATTGTCAGACGTCTTCTTGCTTTCCCCAACATCCGAGATGCTGGCAAATTTCCGGTCTGCTATATTTGGAAACGTCTGATATATCAGATTCAGAGTTGAGACCGAAAATGGAGTCTCAGTCTAATCATGTTAGCCAAACAATTAGTTAACGTCGATCACTTTAGCAAAGACATTCCAGTTTTAAATTAATATAAAAAACTCGCCTACTACGCATTGGTTTTGATAATAATACAAGCAAATTAATGAAATTGCCTCCAACTCCGAGTATGGCTTGGAATGGAAAGATGAACTCACACGTGACCTCTATGTAACGACGATAGCTCATCCTGAAAAGGAAACATATGCAAATTTAAAATTATACGAATTCAGATGAGAAGAGAGAAGCGGAAGTGGATGACGATGAATCTTGAGCAATCGTCCAAAGCTCTGTGTCGTCATTGATGTAAATTAGGAATGAAAAAGACAAAGCTCAAAGTAATATAACTAAAGATGTGCTCAAACTATGAAGAGAAGACAACTTGATGACATACACCTGATATTAATATTGCAGGTGAATGAGGCTTACGTAGATGTGGAATCAAATTCTGAGTCTTTGCTTCTGAACGTGATGAAAAATAAAAAAAAAATAATTGAAGAAGATTGAAAAAAGTTCAAATATGGAGAGGGTGAGGAAATGAATGAGGCGGAAGTTGACGGAAGGACAATGAGAGCAACCGTTCTTTACTAATGCACACGTGAAAATGAAGTTTAACACTCACGTAAATGACGTGTATAAATTAGAATATAAGGAATGATTGAATGAAGTTATGAACAACAGTGTGCGGTGTGCAGTTAAGAAATGAACCTGAACATAAGTTATTTCGAGTATAACATGTGATCATTTGTGTGGTCAGATTAACTATGTGATACTAATTATATGATATAAGTTAAAGGCAAAAACAAAAGTGAATAACAACAAAGTTGTGAGAGAAAAAGGTTAAAAAGAGCAAAGAAAAAACGGAAACAATGATTAATCAGAGTAAGGAACGAATAGAAGAGGGGGTTGAAACGGAATATTCTCATGAAAAACGTAAAAGACGCAAGCTTCTATCTGATTGATGAATTTTTGAAAGAAGTAAGAAGGAAAAGTAAAAAACGGAGAATTCCAAGGAAGAAATTGGAATTCTGAAAAAGGATTAAAACAAACGACGTTCGGCGCTCAACATCTACGTGAGATAGTTAAGAGATGACTTTAACTGGATGACGTTGAAAACAATCTATACATAGTCTTGATGATGGCGTTATCTTCTATCTATTACGCTCGAAGACTTGGTGGTAGTTTCACAGCTGAACAATCAGCTGTGCAATTCCTAATTTTTTTATTTTTTTTACAAACATTTTTGCTTTTTTGAAGTGGAAAGCTGATCGAAAAGCCAAAAAACACCAATTTCACAGCCTTTTTTTGGCCAAAAAAGGTAACAGAATAAACAGATACATATCCGACATCTCATGAATGACAAAGTTTGAATTGAAAACAAAAAAATTTCGTTTTTTTTATTTTATTTCGGGAAGGATAAACATGAAAATCTTAATTTCTTCTCCACAACACTCACGCATCCACATTCATCCACATGCACCACACACACACACATTCATACACATGCACGCAGCGCACACATGCAGACGTACTGCTCATGAATGTAACTTTGTTTTGGCCAAATGATAAATTGCGAAAACAGATTGAGTGAGGATGGAACAGCGAAGATGAAAAAATGGACCAAGAAGATCAGATTTATTGTTCTCTTTTCATGTCCGCAAATGATTCATCTTAACATGTGACAAGTCTTGACTGTATAATATATCCTTCTAGGCAGCAGCAAGTTAAAGCTCCATCACAATCTCGTAACAGCCATAGATAATAGACGAGAGAGAGCAAGAGAGAGAGAGAGAGATAGAGAGAGAGAGATAGAGAGAGAAAGGAAAGAACCAACGAGGGAACCGGAAAACGATGTTTTCATGAGAATTTTAAAAAAAAATTATGGGCAATAGAATATGGAATTAGATCAAAAGTTAAAAGATGATCTTTCGTAGATTGAAGGAAACCAAACTCTCCTTTTCGTTCAAAAAGGAATCTTTCCATTTGAGCTTTTGTGTGTGTGAAAAGCGTGAATAGTAAAGCTTTTCTAAATGTTTTTAAATAATAATGTAAAAAAAGAGGAGAAGAAGGGAGTATATGAGGAGGATTCCTTATTTATCAAAGGAGTAATATTAAAAAAAAAGTTGGCAAAGGGAGGAAATTGAGACTGCTCTCTTCACTCCTTCCTCTATCTCATTTCGTCTTTCAGAAGTGCCCTGAAGGCATGTACTTTATATTCAAAAGTTTCGGAATACCACGTGAAACTAATTTGCATAAAGTTAGTATCATGCATCCGGACGCGTCATTTGCAAATCACGAGGATAAACAAAGCGGTTGCATTCTATTGTTCTAGAAAAAACTTTTTTTTTTTTGCTTTTTCACACAAGTCAACGTGTTGAACTCTAAAAAAAGACAAATGAAAGCAATTATTCGAAGAAGAGCAATGATAATAAGAACCAATGAAGCCTGTGTGGCTGTCATACTATGTAAGGAATTAGCTGGCATTACGTCACAAATGTCCAGAATGAAAATTTGATTTTCGTGCTTACGCATAAGGAATTCCATTTTGAACACATAGTTGAACAGACAGAAAGACAGACAGACAGACGGACCAGAAACAGAAAGTATCAACGAAATGGAATGAATTGAAAGTTAAAAGTCTGATGACGATTGACGAGGCCAAAGACAGAGTGGTCGCAGAGGAAAGGCAGGCATTCGTTGTAGATTATGAAGCGGAACTCATACATAAACAGATCTATTTCCTATTCTTCTAACTTTCAATTGGCTCTCTTACTCTCTGTCTCATATATTTCTCCAATTAATTAATTATAAATGTCATAGAAATTCGAAGGAAAACATGAAAACTCGAGTAGTTAAGGAAGGCACAACTTCCGAGAGCTGCTGATCCTTCGATATGACAGCTGAAGAAACAAAAAAACGAAGTTTTGACATCCGTCTATGGAGTGCAATTTTATTTTTAAAAAGTCATCATATTAGTAACGCTTGAATATCATACTATAACCCATGAATGCCTCAGGCAATAGATTGTTTCACAAAAGAAGGTTCAGAAGAACAAACTAGACGAGAGCATGATTAGTTATTTTTTCCGTAGGTGGAGAGCAAAAAAAGGAAAAACGAAAATGAAAACTCAAATTCACACAAGTCAGGATGTAAGATCTTCTGAAGACAGCGAGTTGCGAGTTCGCTTACTCCCTCACTCTCTGCTCTGTGTTTACAAACTCCATTGAATCTCCATGACGAAGCAAATGTTCAGTCATCGAAGGACATACTCATACTCCCAAAAAAGAAACTTCTTGTTGTAGTGTTGGAGCTGAAGCTTGCAAAGAACACACAAGAAGTCTCTTTGATGAACAGGAGGAGCGAGTAAAGAGTTGAACTGTTGATTAGTGGAATAACTGGACTTCAACAACTGAATGTTCACAAATTAAGTTGAGACGTGCAAAAGCGAACTCGTTTTTTGTTCTAACACAAAGGAACTTGTAAGAAAGACAAAAAAAAGTAAAAAGACGTTTCATTATTTTCCTAAAATGGCCTTTGTGATCGTTTTCGGTTCTTGAAAATGAGACATTGAAATAAGATCCAAAAGGAAATTACTCATTGACTAAGAGGTCCATACAGCTACAGCTTCATGTATTCAGACATAATTTTGGTATTTAAACATTTCAATTTGAACAAAGTTGAAAACAATAAAAATAGTGCTCGTTTGGAAGCTTAGTGCAGAAGACGTGAAACATACAAGTTTCATTTGACTCCAGACTTCACGTCTCAGCGCGGTAATTAAATTGGGATAGCTTAATGCAATTCTAACTAATCATATCTTGATCAAAGCTGATTGAGAGCCAAAAGTTAATTCATTGGGATATTATATGTTCGAAATAGGAATGAATGAAACTTCCATTCTCTTTCTCTCCCTCTCTCCTCCCCTCTCTCTCTCTCGCCCCCTCTCATCAGATGAGCTCACGGATGCATTTGCAATGCAAAGAGATTCCGAAATTCATTGAAATTCAATCATTTTAGGCACTTATCTTCGAATTTCAAATACCTGAAGTGAGTTTCTATATATTTCAAACGAAATGAATAAGCTTTACCTCCACCTCCGTGAGTTTTCAAGTTTTCGTTATTCGTTCAAATTCAGAACGCAACCGGCTCTCAGCGATTTCAATGACAAAAATGGAAATTGGCGGAAACTCCACGCCACCACGTCTCTCTCACGTGAAACTTAAAAGAAATTAAATTTTGTTTTTTTCAAATAATCAAAGTAATATTCAATGTGCTTTGTTTTCTGTTCATTCGCCCCCATGCCACCCAACTCCCTCTCTGTCTCTCCTTCTTTCCCCCAATCGTTCTTAAGCGATGTGTCAATTTGAAATTTTGAAGAGAAAAAAAGAAATGTTATCTTCGTCTGCTGCTTCTTCTTCTCCTTCTGTTTCTCCATCATCAGAAGATGAAGAAGATTATGAGTTGTTGGCTGGATGCAAGAAGAAATGAAAACACAGAGAGTAATGAGAAAATTCGTTTTTCTCTCATCTTTCCCATTTTACTTAAGCGGCGAATGCATCATTATCATCATTAAAACGTCATATCATCTGTTCGGCAATAGTCATTTTCTGGATCTTTTATCATCAAGGAAGGGTCCGTTGTAATCCACCTGAAGGCCGCCCTAAGCCCTCAACTACAAATCTTGTGTGAACTTTATGAGAGAAAAAGGAGTCATGAGCAAACACTACTCGTTCTTCATTACATTTCTGATGGCATAAAAAGCGAAAGTACAAATCGTTACAGACATAATGATGATATAGTTGTCGGAAGCTGCAATGGTTATCAATTTCTTTTTGATTCTTCTCCTCCATTCTTCATCTGTTCGTCCTCTGTCAGTTGTTTAGTTTAGCTAGCTTTCAATAGAATAGAGATGGATATGAAGTAAGAGAAAATGAGACACAATGCACATTTTCCTCACATTGATTACGCCGCTCCTCATGTGGTGACCACTAGTTTGAACACATCCCATGATTTTTTTAAAAACCATACTTTGAATTCGAACCATTCCATTCTTCCTATTGAATCTCCTTGACTAAGTAAGCTTCGTCACGATCTATTCAATGTTACCCACAACTATTCTATATCTTTTTATTCTTTTTCATTCGTTTTATTGCCAACTTCTCGAGAAATCCCGTAGTGTATGGGTTGAGCAAGGTCTTGTACGCGGCAAAATTTATAATATCGATGGACGTCACATCCAAATATTCCGAGGAATTCCCTATGCAGAGCCGCCAATTGGTGATCTTCGATTTCGAGTACATCAGCTTTATAGTGTTTTTCACTTTTCTATTTCATTTTGAAGAAACCCGTAAAAAAGGCCAGATGGCATCAAGAACTATCAGCTGTTGATTATGGTCCACCATGCTTGCAATTCATGGAATTCCATAAGAATGATAAGTTCGCTGGAAAGAATATGCTCAGAGAATCGGAGGATTGTCTCTATTTGAATGTTTTCAGCCCTTACGTAAGTTTCTCGAGTCCAAAAATAGTTGGAAAACATTTTTGCTCCCACAGGATAATGAGGATGAAGCTAAGCTGTTTCCCATCATTGTTTGGATTCATGGCGGCTCTTTTCTTGCAGGTTCAGCAGACACTGGAATTGATATGGAAGTGAGCGTTTAAATATAATTTCAAAATTGAAATCCATTCAACCGTTCTCAAATTGTATTTTGTTTTGAAATGATTATACGCGCCCACTTGTGTGGTCGGCACGTGGATATACCACACGTAACAGATATTAGAATATGCTATTGTTAAGGTTGTTGCTCGGAATTTAGTATTCAAAGGCGTCACTTTGGTGACGATCAACTATCGTCTGGGACCATTAGGTATTCGTGGTTTTATCAGCTTTTCAATGTTTTATTAATTTAAAGGATTCATTAATATCAATGATGGTCAAAAGATCGAAGGCAATTACGGCATTTGGGATATGGTAAGTTGAAGATGATAGAACTCTCAATACACTTGTCATTAGGTAATGGCTTTACAATGGATTCAAGCTAATATCAAACAGTTCAACGGTGATCCATCCCGAGTGACGGTGATGGGTGAGAGTGCAGGAGCAGCTGCTGCCAGTTTATTAGCATTAAGTCCGCGAACAGAAGGTTTACTTAATAATCATAATAAAAAAGATATAAATTGTTCAACTTAAAGGGCTGATACATCAAGCTATCATCTTGAGTGGATCTTCACTTGCTGGCTGGGCTATCCATCGTCATGGGAATCCAAGTTGGAGTGTTGAAAACATAGCAGCATATTTGAGGTCTTATTTTCATAAAAAATATCTTCTTTCTCCAAAACGCTGAGGTTTAAGATGTGAGAAAACAATAAGTGATGAGGATGCTGACGAGATAGTTGGTGAAGAGTATACTTCGGATGAGATAAAAAGTAAAAAATGCAACTACCAGGATCAGAAGATTCCCTGCTTGACGGTAAAGGGAGAATAAACAGAGGAATGTTATTCATTTCTGTTTCAGCCGGATTTGTCCGTCAATCAACAACTTGATTGCTTGAGAAAAGAACTGAACTTATCCTCAACTTTACTCCGCAAAGCACTATCAATTGAGGTTTTTCATTTTATCTCCAAGAAGCTGAAGATTCATTTGAACTTTTAAAGTTGGGAGTTTCGAAAATGATTGTTGATGGTGATTTAGTCCCTACCTCAGGACCAGCCTTGACTCAATATGCTCGCATACCAATCCTGACAGGTGTAGCCAGGAAGGAATGGGCTCACAAAAAACGTAGTCGTCAACTTCAATACTATGTAATTTATGATTCTTCAGCTCAATTCTATAATTTGCATAGAAAAACGGATATGACAGCTGAAGAATCGGCAGAGAGTGTTTTCAGAATTGTTGAAGGCTCGTTCCATTGCACCTCCAGTCAGAAGTTAACGAATGCAACGTTGCATCTGATAGCAAATGCTTCTTTCGTGCGGTAAGAATGAAAGGGAAGAAAACCTACTTCATTTCCAATTCAGGTACATCGATGATCCTACAAACACTTTTGCTACTAGCAGGGTTGTGTCAGCTTTACAAGAAGTATGAGCATACAGTAATTTTATACCAAACATAATGTATTTGAGATGGAGGCTGATATAGAGTTTGTAGCTCCATGCCAACGAGAGGTGGATGGGTATGCAGAGAACAATGTAACTGTTTACGCTTACTCATTCGATTATATTCCCGAAAGTCCAATTTATGAAGAAGTTTTCAATTTTCAAAGATTCCATAAACGTTCCATGTCATTAAGGAAAAGAAGGTTGTTGGGATGTTCGGCAAAGAACCCATCATCATACTAAGGAAAGACATGGACTTTGAAGGTTGGGATCGAAGTTCGTTTGTTGAACGTGATTCATATCAGATAGGAAACTGGAGGCTTTCCATGGACTAGATCATGCATTCATCTTCTCCAAAGGATACAGCAGTAACTTCGAGATCAGACCATACACTAAGAGGGATGAGGCTATGTCGAAGATATTGACCAATATGTTGACGAACTTTGTGAAGACCGGAAATCCATCAACGACCAGGTTCACTTCAAGTTTGTTATTGCTCATACATGACCTTTGAAGGTTTGACTGGCCAGCTTTCACATTGAATTCATCCAAACATGCTTGTATCAATAACCCACCTAAGTAATTTAGTATTCATGAGAAAACTGTGAAATTTCTGTTTTGAAGATTAATGAATGGACAGATTCATTGGCCAAACCCCAAATTCTGGAACATTGAAGCCGAGTTGATATCCAAATATGTTCCGAAGGACATGGAAGCAGCTGTTGATCCGGATGCGGAACTGAGCAATGAAGAAAGAGTTCAGGTTGGTGATGTGCATTTGTTACAAACTGATATACGTGAGATTCACGTCATGCACGTCAATTCTATTCTTGCAAACTCATTCATCATTCGATTTCATCAATGATCGGTTGCGTTCAGCTGGGCTCAAATGCTCAATAGAATATATAGTTATTGATTGATTTGCAGTTATCAGCCTATCGTCGAGCATGGTGGGCTCTGTGGATCTTAGTTGTATTCTTAGCCATCATCATATGGGGAATTATAATCTACTGTATAATCAAGAACGGTTCAACAAGCTCCAACAATAAATATGATAATATAGTATTGACTCGTTAAGATGTAAATAACCTTGTTCTATGTAATATGTTCCTGTGATAAAAATCAACAATGAGAATATTTTATTTAAAAACTAATAAACTATAATCGACTTATTACCAAATACGTTAGAAAAGCATCCGACACTGTGAGTGCAGAACCCATAAACAGATTGAGCGAGAATGGAACAGCGAAGATGAAAAAATGGACCAAGAAGACTAATCTAATACTAATGAGGTTTGAACAGTCAATACAAAGTCAATTTACCTTACAGGATCATCTCTATCATCATTCCGGCTATAAATTCGGACCCCACGATTTTCGTGTCGGAGTGGTGATCCGCTATCTCGCATATTGGCATGTTAACGGAATCTCGGAACCTAAAGTCCCTTTTCCCCACAGAGATGCCGAGGAAACGGCCTTTCTGGTCAAAGATCCCCGACCCAGAGTCGCCCAGTCTGCCATGGGTAGTGCCACTAAAGAATTCGACTGAAAGTATTTATTTCTCTTAGGTTTAGATATTATAAGTACAATGCATCTCTGATACAATACCTCCTTTCCATACAGGATTCCGTAACTCGTTGATTGCGAGTTGCATATAACTTTGACCAATATGCATAGATCGGAAACTTTTTGGGAAAAATTCAAACTCCCCCTCGATGAGTTCAAAAACCACAAGATCCCAACACGGGCAAGCTTTTTTTACGATGCTCTGCGATTTATATTTTAGATACAATGAGGAATCAAAACCTTGAAATCCATCTGCAACTTAACGCTGTATAGAACAACTTCTTGTCCTTCTCTGAGAACAGCGTGGAGTCCATGGTGAAACGAGACAGCATATCTCTTCGTGATCGCTATCACACAACAAGGAGGACATACGTGATCCCGTGTTGTCGTCGTTAATAGCGTGTTCTCTAGCTTTTTTAGCATTGATGGTTTCATTCTCAAACCTAAAAACCAATCAGTATCAGTGTAATTATGTGTATGGTTCACGTGTTACCTGAAAGCCGTGAAAAACGTGGTTATTTGGCCATAACTCGTTGTTCTCAATTTTTTGACCATAAATTCTTTGAGAGTAGAAATATCGAAAATCCAAGGATACCGTTAAATTTCGAAAAATAGACCTGTTCACGTGGTTTATTCCACGTTTTCACGTGTGGTTCACGTGTTACCTGAAAGCCGTGAAAAACGTGGTTATTTGGCCATAACTCGTTGTTTTCAATTTTTTGACCATAATTTCTTTGAGAGTAGAGATATCAAAAATCCGTGGATACGGTTGAAATTCTCACGTGAAAATACACCTGTTCACGTGGTTTATTCCACGTTTTCACGTGTGGTTCACGTGTTATATGAAAGTGGTGAAAAAAGAAGTTATTTTGGTTATATCTCGTTGATCTACTTTGAATTATTTGATCTTTTTTAGTTTCCGTTATATAGGATGTCCGCTCTTAAGTATAAGGGCGGTGTGTTCAGTTCGTTTGAAGAATTGGTAAGTCTTAATTTTGAGCAATAAATGAATTTTTAATATTATGTTTCAGCTCGAGGTTATGAAGAAAGATGGGATTGTTAAGGAAGAAGATGACTGGCAAGTTGAGAAGTATGTGAGTATTTATAAAAATTTTAAATTCAAAAAATTTAAATTCATTTAGGCCCAATTTAAAAATTACGACCCTACGGAGTTCCTCCGTATGGCCGTGAAGTACACTAAAACCATGCCACCGGATTTGATACAGGCTAGCGAAAAAATGTCCGATGTGAAGTTAATGCGTAGACTAGACAGGGCTTGGAGGACAGCCGAACGGTTTGTTCTTCTCTTTAAAGTATACTTTTATTTTTTTGAATTCAGACTCCATTCCTTTGCCTACGGCACGCCATCGTTCAGAGTGGCACACTTCACTGACTTGTTTCAAGAAGTCGAATTTTTCGTGGAGGAGTTTCCGAAGATAAACTTTTTCGTTCTTTTGTTCTATGTAATATGTTTTTTTGATAAACATCAACTATGAGAATATTTTATTTAAGAACTAATAAACTATGAGAAAGAGAAAAACTTCTAAGAAACAGAAGCAGAATCGGAAAACGTAAGCCTATAGATAGGAAACATGAAATGCCAATCGACTTATTACCAAATACGTTAGAAAAGCATCCGAAACTGTGAGTGCAGAGCAAGAGCATCAGTCTCTTGTCACTGCCTATTGAATGAGAATCACAAACATAAAGCTGTACTAAGTATCACATATTTATAATTAAATAGTAAAAAACAAATATAATATGAGTAGTATTCAACTAGCCGTAAAATGAACTCGTGGCCTAAGAAGTTCATGATTTCAAACTACTTTTTATAACAAAATCTTCTTTTACTTCAATTAAAGACTTGAAACGTTGTTTTCGTCATCATCAAGGTTATCCATATGGACTGTTGGACTGAAAACATCTCACGTCATCTAAGCTTCTAGCATATCTCTCTTCTTACCCAGTTGATTCGTTTCCATCTTTACCATCATTGTTATTGGTCTCATCATGCTCACTGTTATTGATGGTGGTTGTTACCTATAACATCATACGTGTATACTATATGAAGACAGCTCTACTCACTCGTGTTACTGTTTGACTTATATAGTGTCCGTTTGTATTATCCGTGATTTCTTCTGAATGAACTTTCACATGTTCATTTCCTTGTGTCCACTCTTCATCATGAACTTTATGCTGAGGGCTAGCGGCCCGAACGGAAGCTTTATCTTCCTCTTCCTCCTCATCCGATGTATGAACCTGGATAAAATGAATTTTAACTTTACTTCGCTACAATGGAACCTCTTGAGAACTCTTCTGAGCCTCATAATTCAATTCGTGTTCAGATGGAGAAGCATTCCGCTCTTCATATACAGAGCTTGTCATATGATCTAGAAATATTCCATGATTCAACTTATTTTCAAACTGTTCTTACTAATTTCATCAGGAGAATCATGAATGATCATGGAGTCAGTACTCATGTTGTCTCCATCGACGTCATCTTCTTGTTCCATGCGGCGTTCAGCTTCGCTTGCATACACTGGTTCCTCATCACTGTCAGCAGGTTGCTCAGGAGCTGGAGTAATGTGAAGTTGAACTGAAGGAATTTGCATTGTCTCCTCATTAATCTGAAGAAGAATATTCTGTAATATTATGTGAATGTAGTATAAACCTGATCAGTAAGGTGTTCGTCCTCAGTAGCCACGAGATCGCTAGGTACTGAGCTGCGGTGTGCGGTGAAGGCAGAAGGTTCTTCATCTGATTGATCTTCTGTAGGAATTATGTTTTCCTTCTCGTCTTGAGTAGACAATCTCTCAAAGGTGTGGATAGTCACATGCTCGTCATTAACCTCCATTGCTGTTTCTTGAATTTGGGTAGTGTACTGATCCAATTCAGGAATCACTGGTTCAGCGTGAGATCGCAGAACAGCGCTCACATCTTCTTCAGAAGCGTGCTCAACAACATTTGATTGAACCTCATCAGGCTCAGAAGAAATCTGACTATTTGACATTGTTTGCTCATAATGGTAGGACTGATCCATTGGAGCATCACTATCGATTTCATGTGTTGTTCTCTCAACAAATGGTGAGACAGGACGTATTGGAGGAATGTTCTCATCTACAACTTCTTCTTCAAAAGTGGCATAATTATGCTCGTGGACTGGTGATGAGTTACTGTCTGGAGGAGTTATAGAGAGTGTTGGAACTTCTTGCATCTCAAGTTGGCTCAGCTGAACTTGAGGAGATACTGGTTGGTGTTCTTCTACGTCATTGTTATCGACAATAGGTTCGTTTTCGGTTTCGTCGCTTATAACAACTGGAATTTGGACGTCATGCACTGGCTTTTCGTCTTCAAGGACGTAAAAAGAGCTTTCAACAATATGCTGTTCTTCAACGTGCTCTGGTGATTCCCGGGAATGCTCAAAATTATTTGATTCGATTATATGTTCTTCGTATTGCTGAACAGCAGGAACTTCAGGAGAGGGTGTCTTCTGTACCACTGATGTGTCTTCTCCTAATGTTTCAATAATCTCAGGCTCGGATTTCGGGGTGCTTCTCTCATCTTCGTAATGTGGAACAGCTTCTGGTTCGTTTTCATAAGTAATAACGTCTTCTGTTGTTACAGCTGGCTCATGAGGGATGTACGAGCTCTGAGTGATTACGTTTTCGTCTTCAGTCTCATGGACTGAGCGAACGTCATGCTCATACTGATCGCTATGAACTTCGGGTTGTTCAGGCTCCGCTGAGGAATTATGGTCCTCCGTGAAATCATGAGCAATAGTGGAAGTAACGTTTTCGGGGCTTGCGATCTCAATAGGTTCTTCAGCAGGCTCTTGTAATTGTACGACAGGACTATCATTCACTATAACTGGGCTATCCACAACTGGTGTAGGGCTTTGCTCTCGGATATATTTCTCTATGAAAGGCCTCTCATGTATAGGAGAGTCGAAATCATTGTGAGCTATGGAACGTTCTTCAATTGTCTTTTCCAGCATGTTGGGGGTGACAATTTTTCTTTCGAAGGCTTCCTCAATTTCTTCCTCTGTTCTATCTTCCTCAGCGTATTCTGGCTCTGAGTCTTCGGAGTCTCCATTAGCTTGATCAGAATGATTAGTTTGATCCTTTGGCTCAGATGAAGAGGAACCTAGTTGAGTTTGGACAACTTCCTCGATTCGTTCCTTAGAGAGTATAGTTTCCCGAGTAGGAACCGGTGAATCCTTAGTCGGTGTTGGAGACTGTGGTACCGACGCTTCAGTATATGGCGCATCCTCTGGCTGAGGTGATGAATCAAAAGCTGGTGATGGCTCATCCGGCACTGTTTGTTGTTCTTGTTTTTCAAGTACTGCAACTTCATCCCGATTAACTTCCGATTCAATTTTCGCTGGTTCATTTTCAATTTTGGGTCCTTCAAAAGCAGCCAGGGCTGTAGCAGCTCCTGCCAAAACGGCTGCGCCTACAAAAATTATTTTGTCATGGAAGCCAATGAAAAACATACCTGATATAGCTGGTAGGACAGACGTTTTGGTTGCAGTGGTTGAAGCAGTTGTTCTATTTATCGAAGTGCGTGTTTCTTTCTTAGCTTCTGATCTGCCTCGCGTAGAAGGAGCTGGTCTGAAATGACGTTTTTGATTATATTTTCAACCCCGTTATAGATAATAATATTGGTTGACGTGTGAAGCCAGACAAAACTTATTTTCATATCTGATATCTCCGAATGTAATGAACGGTTGCTCACCTTGACGCAGCTGGCGGAAGCCGTGCAGCGGGCTGTTGTGGCAGTTTTGCTGGGCTTTTAGCCGCTTTCCCTTTAGATGAGATAGGAGGGAACCGTGGATTAGAATCTGCAAAGGGGAAAAACATTTAATTAATTTTATTTTTGTTAGTTAGAACAAAACCTTTTCGTTTACGTGTTGTTGGAGGACAACTCGTGCGATTATCAGATTTAGAGTGTGGCGAATGTCTTCGTCCACGCAGATTGTTAATACTTCTGTAAGTATTCATATATTGACTTTAGATTTTCAAAGAAAAAACAAAATTCCGAAAAGGATATAAATCAACTAGTTGTATCTGATGTTTTCGTGATAGGACCCGAAAGTATGATGATAATTAGTTGAATTATAAGCTTATTTACTTTGGCTTCTACTTCGAAAATCTAAAGTGCGACATGTTCACAGTTGGCAGTTGACTAAGGGTTTTGAGAAGCACAGGTGCAATGACAGAAGTCCAAAACAGGGTGCTCGTTTTACGCAAAAAAAGCTGTATGTCAATCCTTTCACATTCTGCTCAGGCTAATTAAGGAACAATAAGATGATTTGATTGGAAATGAACAAAAAATGATTTACGGATGGTTTAGTCAAGCAGTTTGAAGCATCACAAAGCATTTCATGCATTAGAGCCAAAAAGACAAGTGTTAGAGTAAACGGTAGGAAAGCTGAATGGCATACGACGCACCAATCAATCTAATGCTCTAATTAAAGGATAAAGAAGCTTTATTCACATGGTAACGTAATTATAAAGGTGAAAGCACTATAATAGGAATGGCAGAGGCTAAACTAAGTAAATAAGAGAACAAGCAGTGAAATTGTGACTATCAAAGGGTAAAATAACTTATAAGAGACAACACGAAGAGACATGAAGCATGTTGAGATGTGATGAGTGTTCGAGGTAGGTATGAGAAGACGAACACGCTTCATATCGGAGATGTGTTGTGAACAGAAAGCCAAAACCAAAAAGATTAAATAATAAGTAAAAAAAAATAAAAATAATAAAGGACAGAAAATAGAAGTTGGAAGAAGTTGTGTTAGTACCTCAGCGGCTCAGAGAGCGCATTAACTGGAGCAGACGAGGTGAGACTGGGCAAAGACCTGAAGACCAATTCCCGATGAAATTGGATCAAAATGCAAAGCCAGTCAAGTATTTTTGAGTTTTAATGATTAAATTTGATATTAAATTTGCTAGATAGATTATATGTTGTTATAAAAGGAGAAGCGGAAGGATAGTTAGCGAAACTCCACCCCAAAAGTAAAAACTGAATCAATGGTGAGATGAAGGGCAGAAGGTTAAATCATTCTTTCTTGTTCCCAGGGTAAACGTGTCAAATTATATATTGGCTCAAAAATAAATTGCTGTGTTTAAAAGCTGGGAAAGATAAGAGGCTGCTTGTTTGCTACTTGCAAGCCTATGTGATTTCATATTAGTGTGAGGTTTTGGTTGATTTGAAACAAAACGAAGTAAGGTGAATGAATTCTTTCTCTGACTAATACATGATCAAACGTATAATGCCATTCTCTAAGATATTCTAGTTGGTGAGTGTTTGTGTTTTTCAATATAGTTATTTATAATTTTTAGTTGGCAACTGATAATAATGCAAAACTAACCGTCGTCGGAAGAACCAACTCGTCTGAGGTGGTGGAGGATGACGTACTACGGAATGAATTCCAAATGTTACTTCCCGGAATCTTTCGAGACGATCTAATTGCTTTTTTAATGTGTCTTTATAAGATATTAATGTGGGATCATCCATCTGCAAAGCATATGCTATATAACTAACTTATAATTGAATAGTTAACCTTATGTAGATAATTATATTTCTTGACATTAGCTGATAATCGTTTGTAAGCATCTCGAGGAGCAGGAGCATGCTGATCAGATGGCTCAGTATACTGTTGTTCCAATTGTGTGAGAACTTCTTTATCATCATAACTATTTGAGAAACGACGTTGTCTTTCATTTCCTGAATTCCTGCGACCTAAAAATTCCTCAATTTCCTTCTTTCTGTTTTGGGTCTATCGACGAACCTCGACTTAAGCTTCGACTGGCCTTCTTTGCTGGTGTTCGACGATACGATTCGGGACTGAGTCCGGAACGAATACGACGACAAGTTTCAACCTTCTCAGCAGCATCCAGCTTACGTCGCAGTTCAGCCATTTTCATCAATTGGGTCTCACTAAGAAAAAAAACCATTAAAATGACTCGTTTTTCATGAAAGCAACCGCTCTATGCGCTGTATGCAAATAGAATGAAGTGCATTCATTCATTTCGCTTTTCACGCAAATCCCACGTGAAATTTCAAATTTATGCTAATTACTATGCAAACTTCAATTCATACTTACCGATTCTTAATAATCATTTCCATCATTGCATGATGACGTTGATAGACCTCATCTCCTTTCCCCTCATCGTCTTGGATCTGAAGATATAAGACCGTTTTCTCCTTTTTTTTGGGATTATTGGTTTATAAATTAGGAAAAAATTGAATTCTCTCTTCCTGCCAAATACTCTTACAGAATTCTTTATTATTCGAAAATGAACTCTGCTTTCACGTCGTCTGTGAGCCATTTTCATGTTTCACTCGAGTGCAGTTTTACGAAAACCTCAAAACTTTCCGCCAATTTCTTTGTGTGTTGCCATCCCTCTCAATTCATTATGGACTCACGTAACAAGATTGTTAACAAAATGTATAACGGAATTTCGATTGTGATGAACGGAGGGAAAGAAGAAGGAGGGAAAGAAACGAGGGAATAAGAAGCTTTCAAGATGAGCAAAAGCTTCATTCATGCAAATTTCATTGTTATCCGAAATTACAGATCTATCTGTCATTATCTCCATGCAATCTTCTCACTTATGACCATCTGTTTCCCTCCAAATTGATTTTTGAGTTCTAATGAAGCCAAATGGAACATGACAAGACTGACCAAAGCCATCCTTAACTATATCACATAAAGATATTTAAGAACATCTCTTAAAAGGAATTTGGATGACTCTAACATCACTTGCAGCACTTAGTATAGTTAGTACATTTCCTAGACATGTGTGCATGTTATGATTTGTATCAAATAACCTAAAGAGAAGATGAGAGAGAGAGAGAGAGCGATATGAAGAGAAGAGAGATACTACAACGAGGTTGTGACGATTATGAACATTGAGAGAGAGAGATAGGAGAGAATGAAACAAGGAAAAGTAGTAATGTGTAAACAAATGTCTAAACATATAGTTAGTAGAGCAATTGTCCTCTCCCTCATGTTATAATTTCATATTCGTCCTTCATGAAAATATTTTTTTCCCTCACAATTGAACTTTGCAAAAGATATTTACAATCAATTAATTGTTGTATACACCTCCACTAACTATTCGTAATAGTTAATCATTCAACAACATCATTCTACTCCCACCAATTTCCATATAAGTTTGACGGAAACAAAGCTTTTGTTCTAAGTTTTCTTTGCAGGGCGGAAAAGACAAAAAAATTGATTTTCTCCCTCCATAATCGTCCGTTGGAACAATTCGAGGTTCACGAAAGATTAAGAGAGGTGTGTTTCTGGAGGCATTGCAGTTATGACGAACGACAGTATCTCCAAGCAACTATTGAATATGAAAACGATTGTTCGTCGAGTGAGTTCAAGAAATCAAAATAGCAAAGTAATCGTCGACAACGACAGCATCTACACATGAACACTCTCGATTTGACAAATTTTTGTCTTTGACGATAAAAACAAAATATTTTGTTGTCTTAACTACACACACACGCCATGACTATGGATTCAGTCTCTTGCTTCGAGAACTCTTCCCCCCAATTACTGAATTTTTCTTAATTTTAACAGAGATAGAGAGAGATGTTGAGTTTGACATTAAATGCTTACCAATCCCATTCGGCGTAAATGTCTTCTCATATGAGGAAGAGCAAAGTACTGACGTAAATGGACATCATATAAAGGATTGTAGTTATCCATCATACTCTCAGTCATTTTCGTTCCCTAAATTCATGTTTCAGATTCAATTTAGACGAACAGCTTGAGACGAACCTTTTAAGAGATTTCAGTTGATGTTGATTAGGAGATACCCAAGGGCTGCTTCAACCTGGAAAACATAAGGAATGAAAGTCCAAAAAGCTGAACGCAAATTGACAATGTTTAAACGATTTAAACGAAAAAGGACAAATGGCGTTGGTACGAACTTTGCAAAAAAAAAAAGAAAGGAAAGTGGTCCCTAGACGAAGGAAAGGAATTCGCTAAGAGTTTTGAAAAGAAGAATTAGGTAGGAGAAGCTTAACAAGAACTTCATAAAGAGAGGATGTCGGCAGTAATTCGATCCAAATATCAAAAAAGAAAGAAATTGTAATATTTCGGAAGATGTTCTTTGTGACGATTGAGAAGTCATGGATACAACTCAGAATTATTGACATGAAGGGAAAAGGAAGACGGGAAAGGCGAATTGAACGAATGAAAGGTGTCAGCAACTGGATAAAAGCTGAAGAAAGAAAGATTTAAAATGAAAAAGAGAGAGAGAGAAAGACTTTCAGAGGGTAAAAGACAAACTGAAACCATATAGGACATTAGAGAGAAGAGAGTTAGCTGAAGGTTTCTATGGCAAAAGGGCGGAGCTTTCAGAAGTGAGAAAGAGAGAATGCACATTACAAAGAGCGTTCTGAGAGACAGAGAGAGTAATATAAAAGATTATAATGAATGAAGAGGCCACAGAGATGAAATGAAAGAAGAGCAGATTGATCATTCAGAACGCATATTGGGCTGTTGGCTGCTGACCAAATATGGCCATCAGATACATACAGATAGATATGGGTGGATAGAATGAAAATTAACAATTTAGTAAAATAACCTTTATTCCCTTCATAACCGGAGTTCCAAAATAGTTTTGCTCTCATTCTTTCTCTCTCCTCTCTCCCTGTTCCTCCCCCTCTCTTAGCATTCTCATAATGAAAATTAGAAATAGCAATATGATGAGGAAGAGCTGCGGTATCTCATCGTTCGTCCGAAAAAAAAAGCTGATATGAGGGATTTGTTGCATAACAAAAGATAGTATTAGTCAAAGATAAGAAATTTCTGGATGGAAGAGGATTATGGAAGGCAAAGAAGGTTTCGCCTTCCTCCATTTCTTCGCAGTTATTTTGAGCGAGCAGGAGAAAGAGGAAAAGAGTGAGGAAGGGAGAAGAGATTGTGCGAGAGCAGGATGAACGATTTTCGAAAGTTCCAAAAGAGTTAGTGGTTATAATAGCCATACATGGTTATATATAGTTAGTATTAAGCAGAGTTCAATTGAAGTTACAAAGAGAAAAAGAGACTTTGCAGTCTAATTGCATTTCAACTGGATTGTCGAAAGATGGACGTCTGTACTTAAGCAGAGAAATCCATTTGAAGCTTCTACTCTCCAAAAACCCTTTTTTAAAAAGAGAAATGATTACTTTTCTTATTTGACACAGTACGAACAGCCAATTCTCTCTTTCCCTTTGTTGACAAACAATTTATGAAAAAATAAAAAAAAAATTTTTTTATTTTCATTCCAGCCAAGAGACACGAAAATCAATTTCTGCTTCTTCATATTAGCCGGAAAGAATTTTTGATAAGAGAAGCAGAAAACGAAAAGAGAAAGAGCCAAAAACGAAAGTGAATTCTCGAGGTACGCATCTGAAGGACTGAACGATGTAATAACAAAGCTAATTTAGCATTTATCTTTGACATTCTTAGAACTTAAAAATATTTTTTTTTCAGCTCATAATTCAGTTGCGAAGAACTTGTCTTTCCCTCTTATACGCTTCAGAAACAAAAACAAACATGAAATTGCTTGAGGCGAGCAATTATGCTTAATTTGCATATTCAACTGACCAGTCGTTGAAGAGAGTGGGTCATGAATAAGGAAGCAAAGAAAATGGTCATAGACAACAGACTTGACAGACCGTGGAAAGCACCTTATATGGATAAACCGCTACGGACAATAAGCCTTCCTCTCACCTACATATAGAACATAGTATAGAGATGATGGAAAGGAAAGTATTGATTGAAGTAAAGTATATAGAAACTGTTAATTATAATTAAACTATACTACTATACTACTTACTATATGTCTATATGTATGTATGTATGAATATCAATATAGATTCTATAGCAGGTGTGTACAAGACCCAGAATTAATGTTTGATTGATCGATTTTGAAACAAAAATGTGTTTGTTAACAGAGAAATGGGAGAAAGGAAAGCAAAACGTTGAAATTTCATTACTTCAGATACTTGCTGTTTAAGGAAATATAATCATTTGGGTTGAAAAGATATGAATGAAGTGGAATATTAGATTTGAACGAGAAAAGAATGTAATACAACCGTTCGCTAGCTGAGGTAGAAGCTCAAATGACGTGAGTTCACGTGAAGTTTACGTGAGAGTTGTGCAAAAAGCCGAAATATGCTAATTGACCTAATAATGATTGAAAGAAATGTTAATTAAGTTAAGGGATTGAGAAAAGGAAAGAGAGAGATAGGGGGATAGAGAGAAAGAAAAAAAGAAAATAAGGAGAGAATGAGGACAAGTGTAAATTGCTAATTGAAAAGGAATGTTTTATTAAGTAAAATTTGAGAATGCTGTGCTTGACACGTCATCTCTCTGACTTTCACAATCATATGTCAATAACATCTCAGGTTAGGAGAAAAGGTAGGTATAAAGGAGTGAATTGACAAGTAGAATGGAGAACGAAAGAGGTGGAGAGAGAGAGAGAGAGAGAGATGCGAAGGTGAAGGGGGAAGAAGAATGAACGGACGTAGAGCTCAAATTTTATGTACACGAAAGTAAGAAGAATGGAAAAGGAGTGGAAGAGCTTCCAAAATGTTTTTATTCAAATGTCAATGAGTCATTCTCTCAATGATTTTCCTAAAACCCACGTTGCAACATGTTTGAATGAAATTTGAATAATATTTGAGATGGCAGAAGCTTGATGATGACGGAGAAGAAGGGGGGAGGGAGGGGAGAAACGATTTTCAAACAAACGAAGTAACTGCATTTGTAGGGCACACATGAACAGATTGTCATGTTAAAGCGAACTTCTCAACCTAATAGAGTATCGGATAGTTTCATTGAAATATATGGTTGACTGAACGACCGAATGTCTCCTTGTAGCAGTAGTGGGGGGGGAAGACACATACACGAGAGTAGGTTTCCATATGCATATATGGTGGTAGGCAATTCGATTTTCTCATCTCATAAAAACATTTGAGAGAAGTTCAAAAAAGTGTTTGAAATCAAATTTCTCGCTGAAGCTCCTTCATCGGGCTTTCCGCGAAAGCTGCTCTAACGTTGTCAAAAGAAATTGTATTTTCGAAAAAACACACACACACACACACACATCGTCACTCACATACAGACACATACATACATACACACAGTTTTATAAAATGAAAAAGTGTTTTAAACAATTCAATGGAACAGAATTTTGTTTTATGTTCAAAGAAAATAGTCAGAGAAGTATTTCAAGAAGAGGAAGATGATGTACTGAATGTGTCAATTGGCTGCTTTTGTGGAAACGACGACGACGACAATGATGACAAGGGGAGAGGATGAAGAAGAAGACGAAGAAGAAGAAGAACAGATGAAGAGAAAGGAGGAAGAAAAAAAAGAAAGAAAGAAATAAGTTAAAATAAAAAGAGAGTTGTGACTGAATTTGAGGACGCAAAGAAGGAGAGGAGAAGGAAATGAAGACGATTATAGCATTTCAAATTGAAAATATCACAAGGAGAATGAGGACAGACTGTGAACGATTCATAATGAAACGAGCTGATAGATGCATTGCTAAGGATTAAATGGATTATCTTGAGTTTTATATTTTATAAAAAACAGCTTGAAAATCAGTTTGTTATCGATTTGTAGATGGTTTGTTAGATATGACAGAGGGCGCTCTTCAAAAAAGGAATATGAGAAAGTCAGTAATAAGGCGGAACCTTTCGAATGATCGAAATTCCCAAGAGACAGCTCGTGAGCTGATTGAATTGTTTCCTCTTGTGCTGTAAACTGCTGTCTCATCTAAGCTTTGAACCATATATGGCCAAAGACATAAGGCAACAGATGCTAAAGAGACCACTAGCGACTTGAAACAGCCGAAAGAAAAAATAGAAAAACGAGACAGAGATCATTTGCAATATGACTGGAGACAACGAGAATTGCCAACAGACAGCTCCGTTACAATACTCTCACAATTCTGTTGGACCAGCTTGGTCTCTTAATTAACTTGCTTTCGACGATGGCTACTTCTGTGAGCTGAGAATAACGTGCCGAACTAGGCTGTCCCTGCTACAGCAAAGAAGAAGAAGTCTTCGCCTTGCGACTGGAAAGACTAAGATGTTGAAGGCCAAAAACTTGGAACAAATACGGATAAACGTATTCTAAGTCGAAAAGTTGTACAAATATTTCTTCGTCACTTTCATGTTTCTTATTTTAAGCTGAAGAATGATTTTTGGCTCAAAAGAGAGACGGATTGATGCTTAATAAGGCTGTGAGAAAGTTTTCCAACTTGTTTTCTGTCAGAAATAGCCACTTGATGTGTTTTTTCTTCAAATTTGAAATATTTTTCTCAATAAAAACTTCAAGAGTAGACTTTCACGTAGAGGAGTGAGTGAGAGCGGCGAGGATGTCACTAACAGTCGAGAAGATCATAAAGGGAAGGGCGACAATGGCAAATTGCTTTCATTTCACATTTTATATGTTATAATTATTAAATATAATTAGGGGTTAAATATAATATATAAAAACATTGACGGGAGCAAAGTGAATGATACGAATGACCTCCAGAAATGAATAAACAGCCAGAAAGGCCGACTGGTCGGCGCCTTGTTGCTCGTCACTCATCCCGACATCCTCATTCTATATCTCCATTTTGGAAAAGCACAGCTTCGCTCATTTTCAAGCTTCTCCTTGAGACTTTGAGCAAAACTCCATTGGAAAGGAGAGAAATATCAATCTCAGCTTCCTATGAC